CCTGTATCGAGGGAAAATATCCTTTAGGAATGAAAAGAAACCATTACATTTTCAGACAAAGGAAAACGGAAAGAATTTGTTTCTAGCAGTCCTACCCAGAAAGATGGCCTTTTAAAGGAAATTCTTTGAATAGAAAGGAAATCTAAATTAAAGAAGAAATTTGGGGGGTGCTTGGGTTGTAGCTCAGTGGCAGAGCGCTTGCCTAGCACCTGTGAGGCACTGGGTTTGATCCTCAGCACCACAGAAAAATAAATAAGTAAAATAAAGGTAAAGGTATCGTGTCCATCTACAACTAAAAAAAAAAAAAATAAGAAGAAATCTTGGAATAGTAAAGAGAAAGAACATGATGAGTAAAAATGTGTCTATCTGTAGGAGACGTCCCTCAACAACCACAGACTACCAAAATTCAACCAGAATGAATTAGATAACCTGAATTGATCCTTATAAACATTAAGGAAATTTAATTTTAAAAATTTAATTTAAAAATTTAAAAGCTCTGAAAAAGAAACCTTCAGGCCAGTTAGTGTCACTGGAGAATTCTACCAAAGATTTAGAGAAGAATGAAAACCAATTTCATACAATCTCTTTCAGAAAATTTGAGGAAAGAACACTTATCAGTTCATTTTATGAAACTAATAACCAAACCAAGAAAGATACTAAAAAAGAAAACTGTAGGTCAGTATCCCTTAGAGTTTAGATGTAAAAGTCCATCCCAAAATATTACATATAAAATGACTTATGTATCAYGAACAAGTGGAATATATTCCAGTCATGCCTTCTGGCTCACTGTTGGAAAAATCTATCAGCATGATCTGCCCTATTTCAGTCACAGGCTAATAAAGAAAAATTACATGACCATATGAATTCAGAAAAAAACACCTGACAAAATTCAATATCCACTGGGCATGGTGGCACACACCTGTAATCCCAGCAGCTCCGGAGGCTGAGGCAGGAGGATCGCAAGTTCAAAGCCAACCATAGCAACCTAGAGAGGTGCTTAGAAACTCRAGACTCTGTCTCTAAATAAAAAACAAAATAGAGCTGGGGATGTGGCTCAGTGGTTGAGTTGCCCCTGAGTTCAATCCCTGGTTACCTCCACCCCCCCACCCCCTGCAAAAAATCAGTACCACCCATGAGAACTCAAAAGAGGAACAAAGAGGGAACTTCCTCAATTTAACACAGAATACCTACCCCAAGAAATCCATAGTTAACACTACAATTAGTGGTGAAAGACCTGAATGTGTTCCGCTAAGACTGTTATTCAACTTAAAGGTTGAAGCTTCCAACAGTGAAGTTARACAAGAAAAGACATACAGATTGGAAAATCAGAGATAAAACTGTTCCTATTTTCAGATGAATGTCTTATTGTCTTTGTTGAAAATCCCAAAGAATCTTAAAAACAAAAAACCCAAAGTGGGAAAAAACCCTCCTGGGATGAGTAAGCTCAGAGAGGTCACAGGATCCAAGAGCAGTGTACCAAACTCAGTTCTGTGTCATAGAGTATATACTAGAGGAAACATGTGGACCTCTGAATTAAAAATAGCATACCATTTACAATTACTCAAAAGGAAAAATGAGAAATTGRTATAAATCCAATAATGTAAGTGTAGGGCTTATAGAATAGAAACTACAAAAACAGTGATGAAGAAAGAAAAGATTCAAGTGGAGAGACATTCTGTTTCACATGGATTATAAAAGGTCAAACAGTGAAGATGTCCGTTCTCCCCAAATCATCATGTCACCACAATTGCTGTTAAAATCCCTGCAGTGACTGAGTGTTTGCCTAGCATGCTTGAGGCCCTGGCTCAATCTCTAGCACAGCAAAAAAAACTTAAAAAATGAAAAAAGAGAGAAACAAATCAAGAATAACAAAAACTCAGCAAGCGTTTTCACAGATAGAGGCAGGATTCTTCTTTTAAAAGGTGTATTGAGGTGCGTATCTGCGTGGTACAGCATGTGCCTAGCCTGCTTGAGGCCCTGGGTTCAATTCCCAGCATTACCACAAATAAAAACAAACCCACCACTCTTTTTCCTAAGATCTCTTTCTTCTAAATTTTTCAAAACAAGCCCCCCAAACAGTCCCAAGCCAGGCCATGTTGTCTGTTTTACTTTGCTACCCGGTGACCTCAGACAGATACTCCAAAGAGTATAGTATTTCTCTTCTTGTCCCTGTCAGGGGTCATTTATGAGAACTTGGGGACTGAATTTTACTTCAAAGATGTTTTGAAACAAAACTTTTTGTAGCTAAGATGATGAGAAGACAAGCTAAAATGTTTGCAAACCACATATCCAGCCAATTGCCTGCACCTAGAACATCTAAGGAACTTGGAAARCTCGGTAGTTGAAAAATGAATGGTGACAACCACCACCCAAAATTCACCTAACCATCCAGTCAGAAAACCAGCAAAAGACAGGAACATTTTCACTGAAGAGAATATACAAATGCATAGAGGCATATGAAAAGCTGGCTCAATATTGTTAAACATCAGAAAATGAGAATTAAAACCAATACCCTTTCAGGGGCTAAAATAAAAACTAATRATGACAAGCTGGCGAGGTACAAAGAAACTGGATCTGGATCACTTCTGTTTTGCTGGTGGATATGTGAAGTGGTATAGCCATGCTGAAACACGTCTTGGCAGTATCTTTAAAATCAAAATGAGCTGGGCACAGTGGTGTAAGACTGTAATCCCAGCAGCTCAGAGGCTGAGGCAGGAGGATCACAAGTTCAAAGCCAGCCTCAGCAAAAGCAAGGTGCTAAGCTTCTCAGACCTTGTCTCTAAATAAAATACAAAAATGGGCTGAGGATGTGGCTCAGTGGTTGAGTGCCCCTGATACCYGCCTTCCCTAAAATCAAAATGACTAGCTGGCGTGGTGGTACACACCTGAAATCCCAGGAGCTTAAGAGGCTGAGACTGGAGGATCACAAGTTTCAAGTCAGCCTCAGCAACTTAGAGAGGCTCTAAGCAACTTCATAAGACCCTGTCTCTAAATAATGAATAAAAAAGGCTGGAAATATGGCTCAGTGGTTAAGYGCTCCTGGGTTCAATCCCTGGGACCATAAAACCAAAACAATACAACTAAACATGCAACTCTAATACAACCCAGCAGTTACACTCCTGATATCCCAGAGGAATGAAAGCTTATTGTAAAGGAAAACCTTTTTCTTTCTGTGTCCTCACAACTATGGAAAACTATTTCAACTCTCAGTACTTTATTTACTTCTGGTCACCAAACTGTAAATTTTTTCTCACATTGACCATTATTCCAATTTATTATTCAGCAACTGCATGTCTTGTATTTCAGTTTGATTCTGACATGGTCTGGAGGCAGCACAGGCACCATTCGTTAAGGGCTCAGTCCTTAACTGTCCCCACTTCATACACCAGTCATAAGGAGTGGGTCCTTAGGTTCACTCACAATTTCTTTCTGACTTGGCTACAAAGTGGAGGTCACCGTGACCACCTCCACCTCCTCAGGTTGAATCAGTTGCTAGTGGGGCTCACAGAACTCAGGGAAGCATTTACTCATGTTTACTGACATAATACCAGATAAAAATGGACACCAAATGAGGAAGTCTATAGAGTTAGGTTCAAAAGGGTCCTAAGTGCAGGAGTTTCTGTCCCTGGGGAGTTGGGACGGGCCATCTCCTGGCACATGAATGTGTTCACCAACCCAGAACCTTCTTGAACCTCACATGTCAGGGATTTTTATGGAGTTAATCAATACTCATCTCTGGCTTCTCCTTTTCTTAAAAGGAAGAAGGTGGGGCGGGGCTGAAAGTTCTAGGCTTTTTTTTTTTTTTTTGAGAGAGAGAGAATTTTTAATATTTATTTTTTAGTTCTTGGCGGACACAACATCTTTGTTGGTATGTGGTGCTGAGGATCGAACCCGGGCCGCACGCATGCCAGGCGAGCGCGCCACCACTGAGCCACATCTCCAGCCCCAAGTTCTAGGCTTTTAATGACAGGTCTTTCTGGAGTCCAGCTCCCAGGTAGGAGCCCACTAAAAGTTGCCTCATTGCAACAAAAAATGCTCTCACCCAGGAAATTCCCAAGAGGTTTAGGAGCTTTGAATCAGGGACTGGGTTGAAGAAAAAACAGTGGACCAAAAGGTACTCCTACACCTTTAGCATTTACGGAATTACAAGAATTTTGGGAGCTCTGTGTTGCAACCAGGGGTAGGTAATACATGCTCACACATACAGTTATTATTATTATTATTTCACATTTATGTTCTCACAAACCTATATGTGAATATTTATGGTAGCTTTATAAGTAAGAGACAACTGGAAACAACCCAGATGTCTTGAATGATTAAATAATCCCAGAACATGGAGTATTACTCAGCAACCTGGATGAATCTACAGAGAATTCCTAATGTGACATAATTTGAAATGGTGAAATGGTCGAGATGGAGAATAGATTAGTGGTTGTCAGGGGTGAGAAGAGGGTAGAGTAGGAGGGAAGTGGATGAGACTCTGAAGGATCCCTGTGGTGTGTCTTGATCCTATCAATGCAATACTTGGTTGTGATATTGTACTGTACAGCATTGTRCAGGAGTTTTGTATGATATTACCATGGCACCTGCGTGTGAATCTATCTCAAATGAATTTGCTTCATTATGTTAAAATAAAAAAATGGAATTGAAAAATGATCAAATATGTTTTTTTAAAAATGTAATCAATACAGAATGGTGTTTGATGAAAAATGAGCCTTCTTCCTCCCCCACATTGCTTCCCTTAAGGCAAGTTCTGCTGCTGGTTACCAACCACATTGTGTTTCACCATTGTCTGAATTGCTCTATTTCAGAATTGGGTGGTGCTTATTTAACATGGACAAAATTAAGGCTTTGGACCTGTCTGATTATCCTGACCATGACAATTTGTCCGTGTCTCACATGGGATCCACAGGGCATAGTCCCATCTCTCTGTTCCCTGAGAGAGGCAAAGCAGGTGATGGCTGGCCCAGCTTAAATGTGCTTATGTGAACTCCTGACAGGAATCGAGCCCACTGGGAACATGGTGAAGCAGCCAGCCAAGTTCACTGTGGACACCATCAGYGCCGGGCAGGGAGATGTGATGGTGTTTATCGAGGACCCAGAAGGGAACAAAGAAGAGGTATGTTGGAGGACACTGCCTCTCCCATCCAGAATCCCCTGGAGACTAGGGATCTTTAATAGGTTCAGGGTCTGTGCCTCTGTTTTCTACATTTTAGCTCATMATGAAAATGTACTTTATCGAAAGGATACTGAAGCTCACAGTGGCTAAAGTAACTTTCCTGAGAGCTGTGCTTTGAAATATAATAGAATTTTTGATTCCCAAGGGCACAGTGTTTATTAAATAAAGAATGCTTTGGATTGGGTAAAGACCTTGTTAATTGAGGTGTTAGATTCTGGGGATTCTTGTTCCATTCACTTTCTTCCCATACTGACCTGTCTTTGGGTCCTTTCTTAGGGCCTTTGCACATGCTCTTCTTGCTATTTGCTTATTTTCTTAGGGCCATACTTTATTTCTAGCATTTAGCACAATCTGAAATTCTAAGCTTACTGATGTATTATCTATTTTTCCCTCTGGGGCAGAGACATGCCCAACTTGCTTATTGTTTTATCTGGCATTTCATAAGCTCTTAATAACTTCTGAGCTGACAAAGATTTGTGTTACTTGCTTCGTGTTCTGTCTCATCTGGACAGTGCCAGCCCTGAGACAGTGAGTCTTGAGTTGGTGCCGCCTGGTCTTGTTGCTATGACTTTGGGCTGCTTCTCTCCTGGCATCCTCTGCAGGAATGGTGGGGCAGGAAATAGCAAGCGCCTCCAGGGTTYCTGCTCTGCCTGCCTGCTGCAGGATTTGGCTGGCACAGCATGCTCTTTACTTACTCCCAGCACCTTCTCCAACTAATTTTCATCTTCCTTCCCAGGCACAGGTGACCCCTGATAGTGACAAGAACAAGACATACTCTGTGGAATATCTGCCCAAGGTCACTGGACTGCACAAAGTAAGAAGAGGARCCATGGCTCTGGCTTGGGCTGCTGTTTTGGCCTTTTTTGGGGGGTGGGGGATATATGCACAAGAGAGTTTAGGAAGTAGAGTTTTTTGGGTCGTGGTACTAGAGGTTGATCCTAGGGCCTCTCTACCATGGAGCTATACACCCCAGCACAGAAGAGTGAGGGTTTTTTTTATGTTTGTTTTGATTTTTTTTTTTTTTTTTATGGTGCTGGGGATTTTACCCAGAGCCTTGTACTTGCAAGGCTGAGCTATATCCCCAGCCCAGAAGAGTGGTTTTCTTGAGTTAACGTCAGTTATCGAAATATCCTTGCTCATTGTAGATAATTTGGAATCCCTGTGAATTAGTCTTGAGATATTAGCCAATTATTCTTGAGGTATTAGCCATTGTTGAAACCCCACAGGCAAGTTCTTTGTAATGTCATAAGATCCGTCTTGACKCCACCTCTTGGTGGCAGCTGAATTCCTGGAGTGTAGATGCTACAGTGACTAAGCTGTGGGCKCTTGGTCCTTAGTGCTTCCTTGAATTCCCCTTTGAGGTAATCTGGAGGATCTGTCTACATTGAAACTTGGGGATTGAGGAAATGGCCCAGGAGAAATGACTTCGATGGAGCCTGCAGGCCCTTCCTCTCAGTGCCTTGAGTTCTGTCTGAGATGGTATCCTATGGCCCCGAGGGCAGAGGCTTAGACAGCCTGTATGTAGGAGACTTGGATGTTGCAKGAGTGTGCCTTCATTGGAAGGAAGTTCTCAGTAGCACACCAAGGCMGATCCCTGTATACCAGGCCCAGATTGAGACATAGACACTACTTACAATCTTGGGCTTTGGTGAATTCACCCAGAACCTTGGCCTTAGGTTCTTCTTATACTCCTAGAGCATCATGAATTTGACAAAAGAGAAATCTTGAAGGGAAGCATTTATGATGTCATTCATTCATTCCAGCCAATCATGGGTTCACATGAAACCCAACCCAAATCCCTTGAACAACTTCAGTCATGAGAAATATGACTCAAGTTTCAGATGGAAATTATTGTACTTTGTTCCAAATCCATGTATCTAAAAATGATCTTGTTCCCTTGGAAAATACTTTGGCTCTGGGTTTGAAATCTTGGGACTGTGCATTAAATTCTGGGGGAATAGTGGCCTGTTCCATGGCCCCCTTATTCATGTCTAGAGATTCTTGTGTAAGTGGTTATTAATTTTCTTTTAGAAAGGCTAATTGTAGCTGGTGTGTGTGTGTGTGTGTGTGTGTGTCTGTGTGTGTGTGTGTGTGTATTGCTAAAGGCCTGATATCCCAGACACAGCCTGAGGCCAAAGGAGAAGGTGTGGTACTCACTGAGGTTGCTTTACTTTTCCCAGGGCTCCTGGTTTCAGCTCTTTGTGTGTGTGTGTGTGTGTGTCTGTGTGTGTGTGTGTGTGTATTGCTAAAGGCCTGATATCCCAGACACAGCCTGAGGCCAAAGGAGAAGGTGTGGTACTCACTGAGGTTGCTTTACTTTTCCCAGGGCTCCTGGTTTCAGCTCTTTGTGTGTAGCCTTGAGAAGGTATAAAGAAGGTCATCAGTGCATGAGGCTTGCTGATGGTCTTATGAGGCATATGGAGAAGGAATTATAGCTTACTTCTTTGTGGTTTGCAGGTCACAGTCCTCTTTGCAGGACAGCACATCTCCAAAAGCCCATTTGAAGTGAATGTTGACAAAGCCCAGGGAGACCCCAGTAAAGTAACTGCAAAAGGCCCAGGTTTGGAAGCTGCAGGAAACATTGCTAATAAGCCCACCTACTTTGACATCTACACAGCAGGTAATATGCCATTMCTCCATGGATTGAACTTTTGGGCTTTCTTCCAAAGCCTGAAATATAATCCTCAGGAATTTGAAGGCTTGAGATACTCTACCTCTTATCTTTTGGGGAAGGTACCAGGTATTGAACTCAGGAGCAGYTGGCTTCTGAGCCACACTCCTAGCCCTATTTTGTATTTTATTTAGAGAGACAGGGTCTCAGTGAGTTGTTCAGAGCCCCACTGTTGCTGACTTTGAGCTCGAGATCCTCCTGCCTCAGCCTCTGGAGTCGCTGGGATTATAGGCGTGTGCCACCATGCCCGGCTCCTCTTGTCTTTTAGATTGAACAAATAAACAAAAAACCTTTTTCCAATGTGTGAGTTACATTTTTCAAAATCAGCTTTTCTTTTTGAAAGACTTATCCTCAGGTTTGACTTTGATTAATAATCAATTTCTTTATGCGTGTCTGACTTCACCAAATTTTCCAAAGACACTAAAGTTTAATAATCATCTACTAGACCAAATTCTGTGTAAGGTCTTGCAGGGGGAAAAAGAATGAATAAGAAATTTTCTTGAATTCATTGACCTTCTTTTCAATTTAGAAAATAAAGAAATGTGAATCAAAGAGAAGTTCAGCACTAGYCCTGTACTCCAAGATCACAGCTGTGAATACCTTGGCGTTACCTTCCCAAATGTCTCTCTGATCCCTTTTGTTTGCATTTTGCACTGATCAGTAGTGAGTTTTCTGAGAGCGGGGAACTTGAGCTCATGAAATGCTTGCTGTTTCACAGGAGCTGGCGTGGGTGACATTGGTGTTGAGGTGGAAGATCCCCAGGGGAAGAACACAGTAGAATTGCTTATAGAAGACAAAGGAAACCAGGTGTATCGATGTGTGTACAAACCACTGCAGCCWGGCCCCCACGTGGTCAAGGTCTCCTTTGCCGGGGAAACCATTCCCAAGAGTCCCTTTGTTGTGCAAGTTGGGGAAGGTGAGTGCCAGTGTGGCCAAGTACATCTGCTTTTGRCATAGATACTGTGTGTGCCTGGACTCTGAGACCTTGAAAGTGGCTGGGGCCTGACACTGAGCTGTCCTCTCTTCTCTTTCTGCCAGATCCACTTCAGTGGGAAATGACTTCTTTTCCTCAGTATGTTAATACTAATACAGTTTCTGTCACCGTGACAAAACACCTGAGATAATAAAATGAATAGGAGGAAAGGTTTACATTGAGAAAAGGTTCACTGTTTGAAAGGTTGCATTCTCTGGTTGCTTGGTTCCATTTCTTTGGGCCTGTGGTGGCACAATATATCATGGTGGGAGTGTGTGGCAGAGGAGCTGCTCACCTTGTGGCAGATGGGAAACAGAGACAGTAAGGGGCTGGGATCCCGGTATCCCCTTCAGGGACACATCCCCAGTAACCTAACTTCTTCCGGCTAGGTCCCACCTCATAAAGGTTTCACCATCTCCCAAAGAGTGCCACAGGTTGGAGACCAAACTTGTGGACTTTGGGGGGACATTTTAGATCCAATCCAAGCACAGAGTGAGCATCCCTAATCCAAAAGTCTAAAAAATCTGAAATGCTTCAAAACCCAAACCGTTTTAAGATACTCAAACAGTTTCAGATTTTGGAGCATTTTGTATTTTCTGATTAGGAAGTTTCAACCAGTAAAGTTGATGCAAATATTCCCCAAACAAGAACAACAATAGAAACCCCCTGAAATCTGAAATGGTTTTGGCCCCAAGCATTTTGGAGGCGGGATGTTCAATCTGTATCTTCTATGAGCCACACAGAGACCTAAGTATATTAATTTGTGTTAGCTCACTTAATGAGTTAATTCCTCAGAACACTCCTACAGAGGAGTTGGCACCTGTGATGGAGTTGGCAGCAGCAGGTGCCCTGCAGCCTCCTTCTCTTGGCCATGGCTGGCTGCCAGGAACTTAGCATGACTGCATCTAATCGTCACACCAGCCTGTGTGCTACAGGTGCTGTTACTAGTGCCAGTTTGCAGGTGGAGACCCTGAGGCTTGGCTAACTCAAGGTTTCAGCCCTATGAGGTGTCAATTAGAGTAGCTGTGTAGTCTCTCTGGACCTGCCTTTAACCACTCTGCTAAACTCCTATGCAACCAGGAGCATACATTTTCCTCCAATATAGACTTTCTCCTGACTTGGTTGCTCTTTTTTGTTGGTTTGTTTTCCAACTCTGCTGCCTTTTCTAACCAATACTTGCCTTTCCCTGTTCTATCCTCCACATCTGCATCTGCAGACTTGGCTTCTTCTTCCGAATCCTGCCTCTGGGCCAACCTGGACCCCGAAGCTGTTGGCTTCCTAGTTGCGAACACTGGGCCAGAGGCTTTTGCTTGGTAAGGGCTGGTTGGGTGGGGCGTCTGTGCCAGTTCTTTGTGCTTCTTGTTATCATCAGCTGAGTCTGTGCTGTTTGTGTGAGTTTGTTTCAGGAAATTCCTGTGCAGGTGTTATTACAAATTGCACAGCCAGACCCTAAGCATACTCTCTAATTGCATTTAAACATACCTAAGGCTTTGCAGGATGGCAGAAGATCTGGTGGTTTCCTTCAAACTCTGTGACTCCACTTATTGTTTACATGAACAGAGCAGTTACCCTTTTGATGTTGAGGCTTCTGCATGTATTCAGAATTTCCATGAGCGTGTATTTATCTTTTAAGACACAGTTAAGACTTCTGAGGAAGTCCTGTCATCCTGTTGTGACTTACTTCTGGTGTGACCATCTTTTCTTCCTTTGATAAAGAAAAAAAAAACCCCAAATGTCCAACATATTCATAAATAAAACTCTTTTTAATATAAGGAAAGAAAGAATTTGGGACAGTGTTCACAACTCAACTAGTGTTCCCCAAACTATTCTTACCTCATGGACTGTCCTTATTTCTGGAACATCTATTCCACCTATCACTTATATTATGCAGTATTTAATCAGTAGACCTTCTCTTTTGATTTAAAAAAATTATTTTGGTAGTTATAGATGGCCAGCATGCCTTTATTTTATTTGTTTCATTTTTATGTGATACTAAGGATTTAACCCAGTGCCTCACACATGCTAGGCAAGTACTCTGCCACTGAGCTACAGCCCCAKCCCCTTCTTTTGATTTTTCTGCCCCCAACTATAATGATTTTATATTAAAAGAATCTTAGCCAGGTATAGTGTATCAAGCCTATAATTCCAGTTATTCAGGAGGCTAAGACAAGAGAATCACAAGATTGAATCCAACCTAGGTAACTTAGCAAGACCTTGTCTCAAAATAAAATAAAAAAGGACTGGGGCTGTAAAGGAGCTTAGTGTTAGAGYACAGTACCTAGCACCACAACAAAATAACAAAAAAAATGTCCAAAAAACAAAACAACAACAACAAAAACCCCAAACTTAAAAGCTCTATCACATTGGAAAAACCAGTGTCACTTTAATCAGCTTTCTTTTTTTTTTTTTTGCCACTTTTTGTGACCAAAAGACCTGACAACATCAATAGTAAGGAGGAAAATTTTATTTTGTGGTACAGTTTCAGAGGTCTCAGTCCAAGGACAGCCAGCTTCATTACTTGGGACTCAAGGTGAGGCAGAACATCATGGCAGAAGATTGTGGTGGAGGAAAGTGACACTCAGGATGTCACCAGGAAGCAGAGAAGAGCTTCACTCACAAAGAAAAAATATATACCCCAAAGTCACGCCCCCAGTGGTCCACTTTCTCCAGTCACACCCCCATCTGCCTATAGTTACACCCAGTTTAATCCCTATTAGGGGATCAATGCACTGATTAGGTTAAGACTCTTCGAACCCAATCATTTCCCCTCTGAACTTTCTTGTATATTGTCTCACACATGAGCTTTTGAGGGACACACTTCTAAACCATAACAAAGTACTACCATAAACTTCCACCATCAATTTCTTTAACTTCAAGCATATTTGTGTGCCTCTTCAAGTCAGGAGTGTGGCATTTACTGCTGATTCTTGCTTTTGTAGCTGTTCATTGCCAAGGGCCTTGTAACAGCCAGCACAGAAAGGCTGGTCTGCAGAACTGGTCTCTCTTGGCTCTCTTTTATTTTGTCTGGCTGTTCKTGTGGAGGACAACAGCAATGATTAGACCTTTAGAAATGGCTGACCCAGGGTTTGGAACACAGATATTTTCAAGCACTGTATTTTCCAAGTCGACTTGAGAAAGTGTAGCTTTCCCAATTACTGGGCCCTTGAGGAAGGCAATGAGGTTTGAATAATGTCCAGCACTCAGTCTTAACCTCCCTCTACCCCATGAAAGGGATAAATGCCAGGACCCAGGAGCACAGTGAAGGTTTGCTGCATTCTCCTGTTTTTTGTTGCCAAAGTAACATTCCCCAGCCTTCTGTGGTATGGCTGGACAAAATTATGCTGTGTCCTTCTTTGCTGGTTAGTGTGCTCCCTGAATGGCATTGCTGGTCTTGGGCAACTGCTGCATATTCTTTGTGCAAAGCAAACATTTTCTTGGTGGGTGGCTCCAAGTTACCTTGGCTTTCTCATCTGTGACTAAAGAATGAAAGCTTGAACTCATGTCAAAACTGTGTTTGCAGCCTGCAGTCCAAATGCCTGCCGGGCCAGTGGCCGAGGCCTGCAGCCCAAAGGTGTCCGCATCCGGGAGACCGCAGACTTCAAAGTTGATACCAAAGCTGCTGGAAGTGGGGAGCTCAGTGTAACTGTGAAGGGTCCTAGTAAGTGCTCCTTTCTTTCCCCATCTCAGGTGTGATTTCGGCTAATTTTTCAATCATAGCAATTTGGATTTCATCCCACATACAGTCCGGATTGATTTATCCCAGAGACCATGGAAAAGGAAGCAGTAATTGATTAGTAATGTCTGCCCTGGATGTGGGCTAGAACTGTGGGTGGCTTGACAGTCTTACATTATATTGATACCTCTGGGAGTAGAGAAAGTAGTGATGCAAGGGAGTTAGGGAAATGTTGCTGTGGGAACAACTTGAAATGGTCCATTTTTTATTTGAGGAGACCAAGGCCCTGAATAGAAAGTTCTTACTCAAGGTCACATAGCTTGTAGGCACCTGAGCTGGTATTCAAGCACAGTCTCCAAGGCCGATGATTTCTCAGCACAAGTTGCATTTCATTGACTATGAAATTACATCAGTTACTACAGTTAGTGAAAGGGTATCATATTTCCCCAGATGAAGTTTTCATTGGAGATAAATGTGTGGAAGGCAAATTACACCCAGCAACCCATTCTTTGCTCCCTCTTTTGAGGAGGAATATGSCAGATATGAGGTCAAGCATCCTCCCTGCTCACAAGTTTTTCCCTGGTACAGAGATGCAGCTCTGCATTTCTGGTTACAGATATACCTTACTGGTGGCTTTTAGTTCCATGGCTAATGGGACGTGAGCTTCCTGTGCCAGGGCTGCTCTCATCTTCTGTGCTTCCATTAGATTGGGGCAGAAGGGTTCCAAGCTCCAAAAAGTTAATATTTGGTCTCAGAACACCAAATTTTGAAGCAGAATGTGCCCCGAGGGCAGCCAAGGTTCTAAACTGCCCAGACCTGGAGCCAAGCTGTGCTGTGGCTGCCCTCCCTCCCAGCTTGTTGCAACAGGAGTCAGGGAGACATGTTTTCCTGACCTTGGAGACTTGCTTGACTCAAAAGCTTTCCTGGCCAAACCTCAGGGCTCAACATAAAACAAGTTCTAGCCTGATGGCTGGGTCTGGGGTTTGTGGTATGGCATCTAAAACCCATCTTCTCATAGATAGCGAACACAAGGGCTTTATTGCTTTCGTTGTTCAGCGTTAGCAAAAAAAAAAAAAAAAAAAAAAAAAGATATCCTGGGATGCATAACTTAAGTCAAATACTCATAAAGGTTCTCCCTCCCCAGTGTTTGAGGGGGAGCTGAGAAGGAAAATGTTGAACTGTAACTAGATTTCTTACATAGATCCACAAGGTTCGGGACCTCAGGGTACCTCAGAGCTGAGAGAACTATCTGAAGCCACTTTGCTGTGAAATCTTCCATTTGTTTTCAGTCTGAAGCAGAGATGTGTCTGGTTTTAGCTTTGGAGTTCTCTCCCATGTTTTGGGGGGCCTGCCACTCTGCATTGGCCCACTTGATTCTTAGATGGCTTGTGCTTTGTGGATATTGCTACCTTTCTATTCTTACCACCGTTGTGAGGCTAGAATTGCTCTGGCAAGATTGTGTGCTTCCTTCCCGCAGAGGGCCTGGAGGAGCTGGTGAAGCAGAAAGGCTTTCTGGATGGGGTCTATGCATTCGAATATTACCCCAGCACCCMGGGGAAGTACAGCGTTGCCATCACATGGGGGGGACACCACATTCCAAAGAGGTGAGTCTTGGGCTRGGGATGCTGGGGACGCATCTTCTCTGGAGGTGTGCTAGGCCCAGGGCAGACTCACTGGCTGCTGCTTCCCAGGCTGTAGGAAAGAAAGAGTTCTCCTTTGTTGATTGCTGCCCCCACCCCCGCTCCAGCCCAGCAGCACACAGACACTTGGCTTGTTSGCAAAAGCAGCAGAAAAGTTGCTGTGGTTTCAGCTGCCTTACTTTAAATCAAATGCTGGTGGTTCAGGGCTGGTGGGAGGCAGGGAAGCCAGAAGGCACAGTTATAGAGAGCAAATGGACTGTGTGTGTACACCCTCATATAAACTGAGATTCTCTTTTTTCAATGAATGCCTCTGTTCACAAATGCCATGGAGGCACAGTCTGCTATGGTTTACATTAAAACCATCTACGTGAGTTCTCTCAGGGACCAAGGGACGCTGTCTACAGCTTTGCCTTGTGGGCGGTGAAGTTTCCACTCTGCACTCATATGTGTTTTCCAGCTCTCCTGGGGGCAGCTTTACATTCTGAATTAGTTTAGTTTGCCTCCAGAAATATTTGAATGTTACAGTAGGCACCCCCTTATCCACCAGGGATACATTCTAAAACTCCCAGTGGATCWCTGAAACTCAGGTCATGCCAAACCCTATATGTCTTTTGTTCTTTCCTAGACACACATATTTTGRTAAGTTTGATTTATAAAATAAGCATATTAAGAAGATTAATAGCAGTACAATAAAATAGAAACAATTATAAAAGCTACTGTAATAACAAGTTATATGCATGCAGTCTTTCTGAAAGTATCTTCCTGTGCTGTGCTCACTCACTCTTTTTGTGCTAATATGATGAGGTAAAGAGAAGAGAATGATGATGTTAAGTGTCCTGGCGTAAGATTGGCTACTGTTGACCTTCTGTTGATACATACTGCGTTTGACTGCATGTAACTGAAACTTTAGAAAGTGAAACCGAGGATAAGTGGGGACTATTTTATGGTGTTCTTGGTTTCTAGGCAACAAAGTTAAAGCATGTTTGTTTGTGTATATCATAAAATCTGTTGTGTTAGTCAGCTTTATATAGCAGTGACCAAGTTACCTGACAAGAGCAACTTAGAGGGGGAAACTTTATTTGGGGCTCATGGTTTCAGAGGTTTAGTTCACGGTTCTGGGCCTGAAGTGAGACAGAACATCATGGTAGAAGGGTGTGGTAGAKGAAAGCTGCTTAGCTCATAGTAGTCAGAAACCAGAGAAAAGACAGAGTGCCAGGAGATAGGGACAAAATACATAATCCCCATAGCACACCCTCATTGACCCACTTTCTAGCCATGCCCCACCTACTACAGTTACCACCCAGTAATTTGTTCAAATTATTAATTCATCACATTACAGTTAATAAGGTTATAGTTCTTATAATCTAATCATTTCACCTCCTACATTAATGCAGGAGCTTTTGGGGGACACCTCATATCTAAAACATACCACCTGTTCAACCTGTTTTTCTTRTTATAGCTGAAGTAGGATATGGAGAAGTGTGAACTTTTCTTCTCTCCAGGGCTTATAGTCTGGATAGCCCTGCACACAAGAGATTAATGACCAGCAAGATATGCAAGGCACTGAGGCTTGAGGGCCAGCCCAGTGGCCCCTGAGCTCCTGAGGCAGCCACATTACATTATATTGTTGCATAATAATGGCTTTGAGGGGTCCTTTGTGGAGGAAGAGCTTGCCTGGAGTTTGGGACTCCTGGTGAAAAGAGCAGTAAGTGGGAAGAATATGTGTTAAGAGTTTTTAGTTGTAGTTAGCTCCTTCTTCACTCTTCTTTAATGTTGCTTCTAAAAAAGAAAGAGGAAAAAAAAATGTTGCTTCTATTCCCTTCCTTCTAGCCCTTTTGAAGTTCAAGTTGGTCCTGAAGCAGGCATGCAGAAAGTCCGTGCTTGGGGCCCTGGCCTCCATGGTGGAATTGTCGGGAGGTCGGCAGATTTTGTGGTAGAATCCATTGGCTCTGAAGTGGGCTCTCTGGGTAAGTGGAGGCAGCTGACCAATAGCTTCTGGATGACTAAGGATTTTAGGGCATGGGGTATCCTGGTGTCAGGTTGGGTGTGGGGGCCTTGCCCAGCTTCACCACCCTTAGCTTCCTGGCCTCCTGACCACTCCAGGCCTTCTCTGGTTGCTGCTGTACAAGTTCAGTTCTCTTTCCCCTCCTGCCTTTCCAGTTTCTACTGCCTCTGGCACCAGCATTCATTCATCCACTAGACTTTGAGGGCAGAGGCCTTATGCGGGTGTTATGCCTAAACAGTGCTTAGAACATAGTAGTCACTTAGCAATATTGTTGACTGCCCTCAGTTTAGATGAATGAAGTAATTTTGCTAAAATTTGAAATTTGGGAACTAAATATTTGAGCCATGACAACATATTTTACATATGCATCCAACTTTCTATATGATCATTTTAGATTAGAAGTCAGCAAATCTTTTCTGTAAAGGGCCAGATAGTAAATATTTTGTGGGTTATTAAGGTCTCTGACTCTACCATTGTAGCCTAAAAGCACCTGTAGAAATGACTGAATATGGCCCTGTTTCAGTAAAACTTTATTTACAAATAGACAGTGAGCCAGATTTGGTCCTTGAATAGTTTAGTGACCTATTTTAGGTAAAGCAATTAGCAAAAGAGGGAAAAATAAGAAATCATATTTAATTTTCCATACTGGAAAGATGAATCATCTTGGTATATTCTTCTAGTCTGCAGATGGTATTTAACCTTTTGGCATATCCTTCCAGACTTTTTTCATGTATATACATATATAAGCATTGATTTGCCACAGAAACTATCTAGGGGAAGTCTTTATATTTTTACGCATCAGATAAATATAGGGTATGCCTTTATTTTCTGTGGCTCCCATGGAATTCCATTGTATGGGTATATCTATTGTTGGGCTCTCCAATTATTTCCAGGATTTGCTCTATAAACAATGCTGAGTGCATATTCTCTGTTATTTCCTTTAGATAAAAACCCAGAAGTGGGTTTGTTCAGGCAAGAAGTGGGTGTCACTTTAAGGCTTTTGGCACGTCTTGGCCATATTACCAACACAACGATTTGCTGGTTCACACCCAACCCCCCACCCCATTAGATCATGTAAGAAACAAATATATCTGATCAACCCTTCCATCTCCAGTAAAACATGGTGATCTGGGTTTTATGGAAAAGGAACACAAACAAATTTTATTCTTCTGGCCARTGCTTGGCTTTTGCGGGGTCAGAGGGAATGAACTGGTGGCAATAGAATAGATGATTCCTGCCATGTAACCAGGCTGGCCCTTCCACTCCATCCCTAGGGTTTGCCATTGAAGGCCCTTCCCAGGCAAAGATTGAGTACGATGACCAGAATGATGGATCATGTGATGTCAAATACTGGCCCAAGGAGCCTGGAGAATATGCTGTTCACATCATGTGTGATGACGAAGACATCAAAAACAGCCCATACATGGCCTACATCCATCCTGCCACAGGAGACTACAACCCAGACCTGGTGGGCTGCCTGTCCTGTTYTGTCCGTCTTCCCTGGCTCCTGGCAATCCCTCAGCCCCCAGGCCTGCAAAGTTGCCATAAGCAGCATGCCAGGAGATGGCAGAGAGGAGCTGTTGAGATCTTAGAAAGGAAATGGGACTGAATTTGAATTCTGCTGGTATTTTTAGCACTTTTGTGATGTTGGGCAAGTAATTTACCTCCCTGACTCTGGGCTTCTTCCTCTATAAAATGCAGATGATGGGAGGAGGGTCTACTTTCTAGAGCTTCTGAGATGGTTCAAAGTCACATGCAGAAAGACAGCCTGTAGCAYAAAACCTGACCTGTGTAGGGGGCTCTACAGCTGCTAATTTCTTGCAACCTGGAGCATCCTATTTCAGTCTTAGCATTGTCTGTAGTTATCATTTCAAGATGCTCCATAGATAAAGGTTGTTTCCACACCGCTGCTGTGCACCCCCAGCTCCTCTTTTCTCACATTGGATCAGTGTTTCCAAGGGCTTTCTCTCCAGCCCTTGCTAATCACCAATTCTGAGTGAAGCCTTCAAATTGGTGACCCCACACCCGCTTGTGTGCTGCTTTTGACCCCTTGGGGGCAGCTCTGAAGAGGGTCTGGTCAATTTGGGCTGATAACTACCTTTTCTTCAACTAGCTGCTAGTCCTTTGATCCCTGGGGGCTGCAGATTTTTGTACTCTTGTCTCTGGTTAAAGGTTTTGAATTTCCACAGAGTGAGAACATTGAAACTGGGCAAGGCTAGAGGTTCCTGCCCCACTTACTACAAGTTCTGTCAGAATAAGGCAGGGAACCTGGGCTTGTTTGGGCCTGGTTTTAGAGTTTTTATGAGAGGTTAATGATACTGTTTGTTTTTAAGTTATGGCCTATTGTAGCTTTTTACTTCCCATAACCATGCTGTTACATGGATACCAAAAAATCAGGCACAAATCATTTTGTTCTCCCCTCATTTATGAGTTATRGGGGCTTATTTGAAGCATTATACAGGAAGAGAATCATCATTGTTCCTTTCCCTCAGGTTCAAGCATATGGGCCAGGTTTGGAGAGATCTGGGTGCATCGTCAACAACCCAGCCGAGTTCACTGTGGATCCTAAGGATGCTGGAAAAGCTCCCTTAAAGATATTTGCTCAGGTAAATTTTGGGAGGCCACCTGTGCAGGTAATTGTCAGATTGAAAATGTAATGGCAAGGGATGTGGCTCAGTGGTAAAGCACCTCTGGGTTCAATCCCCAGTACCAAAAAAAAGAATGTAATGGAGGTCACTCAGGATACCTGATCCTCAGTTTTCTTAACCACACATTGGGAATGATAAGAATATTATCTCATGGAGTTACATGAGGATTAAATGAGATTAGCATAAAGCATGGTGTTTTTCATGATTTTTATGATTCATATTCTGTGAAAAGACATTTTAATTATTTCAGACTACCCTATAATGTCTTTCAGTTTGACTTAGGCTTTAATGGGAAGTTTGTAAACAAAATTMAAAATGTTTATCTAATTTAATAGAATTGGCCAAAAATAATTAAAAGCAGAAATTGAAATTAATAAGCAATGAGTATTGGGCTGGGGTTGTAGCTCAGTGGTAGAGCGCTTGCCTCACATGTGTGRGGCACTGGGTTCAATCCTTAGTACAACATTAAAAATAAAGATATTGTGTCCATCTAAAACTAAATTAAAAATTTTTAAAAATGTAAGATTTGAGTGGCTATGGCTTGAGGAGGAGGCGAGATTTGCTCTTAAAAATAAATAAACAGGGGGGCTGGGGTTGTGGCTCAGTGATAGAGTACTTGCTTAGCATTTGTGAGGCACTGAGTTCAATCGTCAATACCACATAAAAATATAAAGGTAATGTATCCATCTATAACTACTACATATGTATATAGTATATAGATATTTATATATGCTATATATATAATATATAAATATTATTATATAGTATGTTGTATATAAATATTATTTATATATACAGATATATAAATAAACAGAACTGGTTGTGGTGACATGTACCCGTAGTCCCTGTGCTTGAGTGGCTAAGGACAAAGGATCAAATGAGCCTAGGAATTTCAATCAACTTAAGCAACATAGTGATACCCTATCTCAAAACAAACAACAATAAAACAATAACAAAACAGGCATGTAGAGTTGGAGTTGTGACTTAGTAGTAGAGTGCTCATCTCGAATGGGTGGGGCACTGGGTTTGATCCATAGCACCACATAAAAATAAAATAAAGAGGGGCTGGGATTGTGGCTCAGCGGTAGAGCGCTCACCTATAATATGCGAGGTCCTGGGTAAAAAAAATTAAATAAAGAATGTACCCAACTACAACTAAAAAATAAATTAAAAATAAAATAAAATAAAGGTATTGTGTCCACCTACAACTAAAATAATAATAATAAAAAATAGGCATGTAACATTTTGTCAGATGTTGTCATTATATTAAGACAGTTGGTACTTTGTGGTAGCTCCATGAAGTTTTGTTGAGTTAGTGGGTGGTGGCCCCATTTGGTGGAGACCATGTGACCATGTGAGGGACATCTCTGTTACTAGCTGTGGCTCTTTTGCAGGATGGGGAAGGCCAGCCCATCGACATCCAGATGAAGAACCGGATGGATGGAACTTATGCCTGCTCATACACCCCAGTTAAAGCCATTAAGCACACCATTGCTGTGGTCTGGGGAGGAGTGAATATTCCAAACAGCCCCTACCGGGTAGGTGGTGAGGTGAATCCTGGCTGATGTGTGAAAAGCCTGGTTATATACGAGGTCTGAACTCCATATGAGGGGAACCCATCCTTGATGGGCTTGGAAAGGTGGCATGGCCTAAAGGGCTGCATGCTCTAGGCTGCCCCAAAGGACCATTTCTAAGAATGTTTTCCTGAGTTCACGTGGAGGAGTATTTGATGACTTTCTCCATGTCTTTTCTAGGTCAACATTGGGCAAGGAAGCCACCCTCAGAAGGTTAAAGTGTTTGGGCCAGGTGTGGAGAGAAGTGGTCTAAAGGCCAATGAACCCACCCACTTTACAGTGGACTGTACTGAGGCTGGGGAAGGTGAGACTGTGCTTCCCCAACCCTGTGACTCTTGCTACTTGAAGAAAGAAATTCATTTTGTAACTTTCAGAAGGCAGCAAACTTTGACCAGGAGGTAGTCCCTCTGTCTAGGTGACGGTTCACCTAATGAACACTGTATCAGTTCCTTGGTGATATATCTTTGCTAATCCTCCATCCCTTTTCCAAAGCCCTGACTTACCACCTTCCCTTTCTTAGGTTTTCTACTGGAAACTTCCCTATTGTTCTTTTGGGGTTGTTAGCCTGAGCTACAAGTGATGCAAAGGACATGCTGTTTCTTGTAAACTTATGTTAATAAGCTGGTCTCTTCCAGGTGATGTCAGTGTTGGCATTAAGTGTGATGCCCGGGTTTTAAGCGAGGATGAGGAAGACGTGGATTTTGACATTATTCACAATGCCAATGACACATTTACAGTCAAATATGTGCCTCCTGCTGCTGGACGATACACTATCAAGGTTCTCTTTGCATCACAGGTGTGTGTTGGGGCCTGGGAGGGAACAGAGGAGAGTGGGCCTGAGTTCGTTCTGGCCACCTATTTGTATATCTCCTTGTGGGTTTTTTTTTTTAGCAATAAGGAAGGTGTCTTAAGAATTCTTCTCAGTAGTTTTTCTTCAGTTCCTTAAAGCTAAGAAGGGAGAAAAAAATGAATCTTCGCCACTTTCTAAAAGAAGTGAGGCACTGCATTCAATGGTCAATAACAAAGTTCTAGAAAGAGACTGTTAAAAGCAATCTCAAGATTTTGATTAAAACATAACTTCTAGATGTTCTACTTAAGTCCGTTTGAAGCAGTAACTCTGGCCTCTGTGCTTAATTTTTTTTTTTTTCCTGTATGACGAGCTGCATCCCCAGCCTTTTTTATTTTTAGATAGGGTCTCACTAAGTTGCTTAGGTCYTTGTTAAGTTGCTGAGGCTGGCCTCAAATTTGCCATTCTTGCTTTAACCCTCCTAAATCACTGGGATAACAGGTATGCACCACTGCCCTAAAACTTTTATACAGAGAGGTATTTTTGAAGTGTTAGGTTTATGATGTGATGATAGGGTGAGCAGTACCCTGAAACAGGGAGTTTTGAAATCCTGATCATTACATTTGCATAAAAACAGGACCCTCAGGAGAACATTCTGTGCCTAAATGCAATGGTTTTCAGTTGACTTCAGTTAACCTATTCTGCCTTTATCCTGATAGTCTGTAACTTTCTTTTTCTTTTTTTATTTAATATTATTTTTTAGTTGGACATAATAGTTTAAATTTGTTTGTTTTTATATGGTGCTGAGGATCGAACCCAGGGCCTCAAACGTGCTAGGCAAGYGCTCCACCGCTGAGCCACTGTAACTTTCTTTTTGAAGGATAATAATCGATCTATTTCTAATTACTTCCTTATAGTCCCCAAACATTAGCTCTAAACTGTCCCTGCAGGATACCTACCTCCATGTATTGTTGTCAGTTTGGGTTTTATTCTAGGTAGTGGTTTTTCATCCTCGGTATCCAAAGCCGGTGTTAAAGGTCAGAGTTTTCAGTTCTGTTCATGTTGTCAGGATCCAAAAGTGAGCAAGGACCTGTCATGGTCTTACCTGATGCTAGGGTATGCAGACTTCTCTGGCAGTAATAGAAGTTTGCTCACCACATGCTGAAATACATGTCATGCTAAAGTTCGCGCTTTGCATTTGGGCAGAAGGCTAAGCTCTGGCAATTGTTCAGGGACTTTCCTTCTGAGACCATGTCTCTGCTACAGGAAATTCCTGCCAGCCCTTTCAGAGTCAAAGTTGACCCTTCCCATGATGCCAGCAAAGTGAAGGCGGAAGGCCCGGGGCTCAGCAGAGCAGGTAAGAAGGCACAGGTGAAGCTGTCCTGAGCCTTCTGTGGCCAGTGTCATTGGGCATGTTTGGTTGGGACCTGGATAACTTATCTCCACAGATGTCTCTGATGTGGCAGAGGCATTGCACCTGCCTGAGCCATGGGCCAGCCCAAATGTTGGCTGGCCGCCATGGCAGAATGGTACTGTTGAACCTGTCAAACTGGTTCTAAAATGAGGCCTGTCTGCCAGCCCTGTCTCCCCGCTTCACGRTATGTCCTTCCAGGTGTGGAAAACGGAAAACCGACCCACTTCACTGTTTTCACCAAGGGAGCCGGGAAGGCCCCACTCAACGTGCAGTTCAGCAGCCCCCTTCCTGGTGACGCTGTGAAGGACGTGGATGTCATCGATAATTATGACTACTCTCACACCGTTAAATACACACCCACCCAGCAGGTAGAGTCCTTCTTGTCCCTTGCTCTGCTGGCCAGGCCCCTTTCCAGGCAGTGCTTGGACCTCTGAGGAGTGATCTGGTGCTTGTGGAGGTACTTGGCCGTGGGRGGTGGCTCCTCTTGCCTTTTTGTGACCCTCTGGGAGTGCACTGACTGAAAGCCTGTGCAATTCCTGAAGAAGAACCAGGAAGCCAGTCCCACCTCCATTTGGGGATTTGTCAGAGAAATGCTGAGTTCTTGATATTTAGGATCTAATATGTAACTTTCTCTTACACACACAAACACACACACACACACACACACACACACTCCCTCCCTCTCTTTCTTTCTCTCTCTCCCCCTACCCCACCGCCCCCCACTTCCTTTTCCAGCTGCCTCTTAGTCTTTCATTAATTAATCACAGAGAAAGAGCTGCCACACCTGTGTTTTTCCTTGCTAGACTTTTTGACCTAGTTTAGCCTTTTATGAGGTGTTTTAGTGGGGTCTTTCCTCAAAGAGCCAGTTCAGTCTTTAAGTCCCTAAGGTCTAAAACACTATTCAGGGCAGCACATTGTTCTCCTTTACAAAATGCAGAAATTCAGCTGGATCTTGCCATATAGTGTGTTTTACTCTGATTATTTTCTGTGATAAGGATTTAAAAAAAAAAAAAGAAGAAGAAAGAGCACCCCTCTGTTTTCATTTTTCTTTGTTTAAAAATTTTAAAATTCATTATTTTATCATGGTAAAATTCACATAACATTTGCCTTCTTAACCATGTTATTCATTGGTATTAAATACATTCATCATGTTCTGCCACCACCACCATCCATCTCCACAACTCTTTTACACTTATGAAACTGAAACTCTGCACCTATGATAAGTGTTAAAAAATTTTTGTTTGCTTCATGTTTATACCTCTAGAATCTGGACAGCAAAAGATCCTGGCAGAAAGGCTGGATTTTCATACTCACATCTAGTGTTATAAACAGTTGTTCTAAGCCTCTGAAATTCTTTCATTCTGAGGGAAAAAGTCCCTGTGTTCAAAATGCCATTTATGAGCTAAAGGGCAGCTCTGGCTGCAGAGACTGCTCAGGAAGCATTACTTCTCCTGGGCCTCCCGGGTGGTGCTTGCAAGTGTGAGTGGGGAAGAGTGAAGGAACAGGAAGGATGAGGAGATGGTGTGACTGTTTTCCTTGCTTTGAGGGTCGCACATCCTCGCAGATTGAATCTTTTTTGAGAACTTCTCTGGCAGTGGAAGGAGTTCACTGGGGCAGGTTCTATATGCCACATTATGAATGTGACCTCTTATCTCTAGACTTAGTGATTCCTCTGCCCTAACAAGGGGTTCCTTATTGTAGTAGTGCTTCTACTACATGCTTCTGAAGCTACTGTGTCCTTTTCATATCAGGCTGCTCTATTGAAAGTAGGTAATTATTTTCTTGCTGATGGTTCTGAGGGCTGATGGAACCCTTACCACCATGATTTTATCTTTGTTGCCAGTTCTCCACAACCTTATGAGAAGGGACCAGAAAGCCATGACCATGCACACTGACCAAGGTCACAAGGTCATATATGCTTCTAAAAACAGTTTGTTACTTGTGGGTTTTTGTTTTTGTAGTACTGGGAATTGAACCCAGGGCCTTGGGGCTTGCTAGGCAAGTGCTTTACCAAGGATCTACACCCTTAGTCCATGACTTGTGTTTTATCCTATGCTTTTCTGACAAGGTCAGTTTGCTCTGTACCCCTGGAAAGAATAGTAGAACCCATTCCCCTGGGTTCCCGATTGTCAGTCCAGGTAGAAGTCAAGAGCCCATATCTAGCTTCATTACATTTGAAGTAATGTTTCAGTGGGAGACTCTTTATTTCAGTCACCCCAAGATCAAGTTCATCTAGTTCTCTGATAGCAGTGGATTTGAGAACTGTTGGCACACTCAGTAGCCTCTAGCGGTTATTTGTTCAAATGCTGGCCATGATATCTGGAAGAGCTGGTAGAGTCGTCTTGATGTTAATTGTTGCCTTTTATGTGAGTGGATCTCATGGTGCCCCTTGGATCCTTCTTGTTTGTAGTGTAGAGTGAGGTTTATAGTTTCATTATTGGGGACACTTGCAATTCCGTAGCAAAGAAAATTCTGTAGCAAAGAAAATAGATGACATCTCTTCTCTTGAATTGTGAGTTCTCCAAGGATAAGATATTATGACCTACGTGTATCTTTCCATCCCTAGCCCCAAGCCCTTGGTCCGGCGCCGAAGGTGCGTCATATGGATTAATGACTAAAAGGGTGAATCAACAATGTGACGCCTTGATGTGATGCAGAAATGGCCTAGGAGCATTGTAACTGGTAGAAGAGTTGGGCTGGCACCTCATCCTGAGGAGCTGCTAAAAGCTCAAGATCAGGTGCAAGAAGTGTGCCTGTGAATTGTGCTCTTGGATGTGGTTAAGAGGCCTGGGCTGCCCAGAAAGCTGCCAGCTCCATGGAGAGGGACCTACTTTGAGGACTGATGCCCCTGGGCTCGTGATGATGTTGTTTGGGAATAACAAACTGGAACTTTCCAGAAAGGCAGTATTTGATGTATGTGGAAAGGCATAGCTATGTCCTGGCCTTAGGTGGGTTGTTTCTACTTCAGAATACAGACTGTGAGAAGCCACTACCCTGCCTACCTGAGGAGACTGGCTCCTCAGGTTGATTGCTGGCTTTTGTTCCCTGCAGCTAAGAGGCTGCTGATCTTTCCTCTAGGGCCCCTCAGTTTTAGCTCACCTGCCTGGAATGGACTCGTGATGTGCATGGTTGGGGAGGTGTCTGCCTTTATCAGGATACAGTGATCAGAACTCTTTTTGCCTTACTGGAGTGGGTTGAAGCTTAAGGACCCTCCTAGATTAGGGACAAGTAATTATTTTCCTAAGGACTTTTGCCTTCTTTACCTTTGGTTGTCTGTGGCCTCAAGTGGCTTGAAATTCTCACTCTAAGCTCCCCAACCCAAGACAGTTTGAGAAGTGGTTGGCAGCGGTTCCAGTACTTGCTCTGATTAGAGCCACTAGGAATTTGAAAGTGCTACTATGGCACCTTCAGGATACCCCATGAGCTCACAGAGCCTCATGAGGTAATAATCTTTACCTTGAATTCCCCTCCACCCCTGGTACTGGGGGATTGAATCCAGACTGCTCTACCACTGAGCTATATCCACAGCCATTTTGAATTATTTATTTGAGACATGGTCTCACTAAATTGCTGAGGGTCTCCTTAAGTTTCTGAGGCTGGCCTTGAACTTGCAATCCTCCCACCTCAGCCTCCTGAATGACTGGGATTGCAGGCGTGCATCACCACTCCTGGCTTGATATGTTCTTAATGTGGTGACCATGGCTCCTTGCAGGCAGCTCTGGAGGAGGGGGATGCATTGGCTGACTCTCAGTCCATCCTCATCTGAGCTGTTGGGTCAGGGCCCTTGTTTATCTGTGTTTTGCAGATAAGGGTCAGGTCTCAGAAGCATATAGGGGGAGAATAAAACAGTCCTGCAGTCAGCAACATCTTGCTGGAATGAGCAGGTGGTCACGGCCCAGGCAGCCCTTATTTACAGCCCTGTGGTAATAAAACACAATCTATTTCTTAGCTGGGCCTTGGGAAAACTGAAAATGGTATTGGTACTAGAGATGCAAATCTTGAAGGTTTTTTTTCCTTCCCCCTTGTTAGGTTATTTAAGATAGAGTTAATTTCCTATCTGGATTTTTGTTTTGCTTTTGTGACTGGTAAGAAAACATACTTTGTTTTATGAGATTGGTGGACTTAACTGCAAGAGGACTTTCCCCCCTTAGCACTTCAGGGAAGTGGCCAGAAGACTCATGGGAGTGAGGGAAAAGACATTTCCAGGACCCCTGGTCAGCCTTAAAGCCTAAGAGTTAGGGGCTTGTGACCAAATTTAAGCTCAGGAAGAGTTGGCATGTTGGGAGAGGTTAAGTAATAAATCAGTCCTCCCTTAAACATTACAAGGAGACCTTTCCTGTCCCTTGGCCAACTCCCAGCCCTGTTGAATTTGACCTGTACACATTTTATCATGAAATGTTATACCCTTGAGGTAGGGGGTCATTGGCTTTGTATGCAGTGTTAAAAAATCCTGAAAAATCAATCCTTCCCCCTTCATTGATGCAACCAATTCTTTTTCTTGGCTTTTTTCCCCTTCGTTATTACAAAAGGAATGTGAGAAAATATCCATAGGCCAAAAGCTACACCCTTTTAATGCTTGATCAGCGACAGCTTTCAGCAGGCCCTGCACGCCAGTGAGCATGATGGATTCTCGGGGAGAATCATCTCTCCCTCCCATGTCCCTTATATTATGCCTGGATGATTGAGGTGATGGGGACCTGATCTGTGAGATGGCAATGGTCTTCCTTGGAGCCTTGGCATGGTGGATGGGGACTTGGCCAACGTGGAAAAAAGAAACCAGCAGTGAGCTGTCCTGGGATCATTCCGAGGATAACAACAGCAGCACACATGGCCATTGTGTGTCTCTGTGGCCATTGGGGCCACCGACAAGGGGACCTGCCATTTCTACAGCACAGTGTGCCTTTGCACTTGTAACTTTTTTTTTTCTTTGCTAGAAACAGCAGTTAAACTGTATTCTGGCCTAACAACAGTTCTAGGTGAACCACTTTGCAGATCCCTTTTGCAGCCTGGTATCCTGAAACTCATAGCCAGGAGATGGAAAAACTGGTTCTATTCACTGAGAAGCCCCAGGCTCAGTGGCTTACCCATGGCCAAGTTGGCTGTGTGTTGGGTGGGGAGGTGGTGTGGGAGCAGTGAGGAAGATGATGGGTGCTGTGGGTCTGAGGCCCAGTGCTTATGTTTACCAGGTATGTGATGGGGGCCAACTTCCTTTACCTCACGGAACTACCGTTTCCATTCTTGGAAAAATGGGGATGATAGAAGAACTGCCCCTTAGGACTTCATTCTTGAGATAGAATGAAGGGAATGCTTAAAAGAGCATATAGCACAGTGCTTGGCACTTATTAACACTTATTAAGTTGTCCTGCTTTTTGCTGCTCTTGTTTGATCTGGTTTTTTATTATTGTTGTCTGAGATACTTTCTAAGTCCATTGGAGTCATGCCCACTGTGTCTCTGGGAGGAACAAAGTGTCTGGAGGCAGATTTAAATACCCAGTGAACATGTTGGTACTCAAAAGTGTACTTTTTTTTCCCCTCTCTTATTCTAGGGTAGCATGCAGGTTCTGGTAACTTATGGTGGTGATCCTATCCCTAAAAGTCCTTTCACCGTGGGCGTTGCTGCTCCACTGGATCTGAGCAAGATAAAAATCAATGGGCTGGAAAACAGTAAGTATCTGATGAGGAGAGGGTCATTGAAGACCAGGAAACCTGGCTGCCATTAGGTTTCCTTGCAAAAATGAATTCACAGAGAAGCCAGTTCTATTTTAAGAGACTGCAGTGAGACAGACTTGGGTTTAAATGAGGGCTGTGTCATGAAACAACTGTGACCCTTCTGCCACTTAGCCTCAGCTTGCTCGTTAATACAGCAGGGGTGAGTAGATGAGAAACACTTAACTTTCACAGGCATATTGTGAAAATTAAATGAGCCCAATGATTCAGAGGCTGGCAGGTAGTCAGACCTCAGTAACTACGGATATTGCAGTGAGAAGGTGGGGCCTGTTGCTTTTGTGTGTGCTATCTTTCCTTGGCTTCTGAATGCCATTCAAACATAAAAGCCAACTCCCTGGTGCTCAGTAACCACAACCGTAATGCACCCCCCCTACCACCACCAATATTCCTTTAGTTTGTTAAGAATCTTACGGTTATAAGCTTGTTTTGTTTAGGGTGATATTTCCCCCCTTTTTTTATTATGGAAAAAATTGAAACATACAAAAAAGAAAGAGTATTGTGGTCTTGAACACTGATAGGCTCACCACTCAACTCAGATGTTTCACACATGCTCATAAAATCATTCTTACACAAGGAATATGTAAATCCAGTTTTCATCTGAAGCAAAATTACAGTTAAGACTTCATTCCATCATTTCTGCCCCTTCCTAGGGTTGACCGAAGTTGGCAGTTCAGTTCCTCTCCTTCCACACCTTCTCTATCTTCATGTATAGATGTTCCAGTAGAAAAGATCTAAAGTTATCTTTAAATTAAAGTTATCCTGCTATGTGGTATGTCTCCAGCTAGCCCCTGTGTATGTCTCACACTCAACTACATCCTCAACCCCAACCTGCCTTTTTTTTTTTTTTTTTTTTTTTTTTGTGATTCTGGAGATTGAACTCAAGCCCTTCCTTAACCTTAGCCAGCCTGCTTTGTGGTCAGCAGTGCATCTTGGAAATCATTCACACCTACATCCTCCTCTTTGGTGTTAACTGCTGGATGCAGACAGGAGGGACCCCTGCAGTGCACATTCAAGTGGTTTCAGAGCCACCAACCCAGCAGGCTGTGTGTAGCCTCAGGGCAGGGCTCCTGTGTCCCCTGTGAAGATTGCTGTAGTGAATACCTTCATTGATTTGTGACCTAAATGGACAATTTGTCCACAAGGCCGGATCCCAGTTCTGAAGGCTGCAGAGCAAGAGCTCCATGTGTTGGCTTTTAGGGTGATGACAGGCAGATGTGAGCATAGCTATGAACAGTCACTGCCCAACCTTTCACCAGGACACCAAGTGTTCTTACTCTAGAGCAGTAAAAGCTTGATGTCTCTTAGGAAAAGCTCTTTCCCTTTGGATCCTGGGGCTTCAAGATAACCCTGCTTGTGGTCCAGTAGTGTTCATCTTGGCAGGCCCCATACTACCCCAGAGTCAAGATTTCTTGGATTGTGGCAGGGCCCTGAGTTCCCAGTGCTTTTGTTTTAGTTAAAGTACCTTCACCGTTTTTGACAAATATAACACTTAGGTTTCCTGTGGACTCTCTTTGTAAAGACCTTTCAAAAACCACATGAAGTCAGTTCTCGGGATGAGATTCAGTGCTCTTGCCTTTGCCAGCACTGTGTCTTCTTGTGGGTTGAGGGAAGCAGCTATATAGGATTGTATTTCTTGCCAAGAATTATTAAATAAAATATGGACCTATAAGTGTGTTTTCACATAAAGTTAACATGAAAAGTAAGTAAAGAACAGAGGATAGTGTCAGATTATAATTTATTGGTCTGCAAAGCAGAATGTAAGATTAAATAAATTTAGATTTGAGTCCCAGCTTGGTTGCCTGCTGGWTATGCTACCCTGGCCCCATTTTCCCCACCTGTTTAAGCCATTGATTAATAATAAATACCCTTTGGAGTTTTGGTGAAAATCAAAGGAGACAATATGTGCTGTTCTTTGTGCCTGGAATATAAAATGCCTGTAGTAAGTGACAGTTGTTATTATCATTAACCACTGTTCTTATGCCAATTGCTGTTGAGGCTGAAGTGCAGTTATGTTCACTTAGTCTTTCTGCACCTGCCTTCTTATTGAAGAGGCTAAGACAAAACCCCGTGTCCAGAGACCCATCCTTCCCTGCTTATGATGGTTCTTGCCTCTGGAAGAGGGCAGCTTCTCACTTTGACTTGCTCCCTTCCCCAGGGGTCGAGGTTGGGAAGGATCAGGAGTTCGCCATTGATACCAAAGGAGCAGGAGGCCAGGGGAAGCTGGACGTGACAATCCTGAGCCCCTCTCGGAAGGTTGTGCCATGCCTGGTGGCACCCATGGTGGGTCGGGAGAGCAGCACAGCCAAGTTCATCCCTCGGGAGGAGGGGCTGTATGCCGTGGATGTGACCTATGATGGACACCCCGTGCCCGGGAGCCCCTACACAGTGGAGGCCTCTCTACCACCCGATCCTACCAAGGTCAGTTTTTTATTTTGTTCTAGAACTTGTCCATTTGTTGTCAGATGTGATACCACAGTCCTTCTCTCTGGTCCTGCCCAGCAAAGACCTTTGGAAACTCATTTTGTGCTGAAAGTTAGTTCTCAGTGACCAGCTTTGGTTCTCCTATCTATCAGCGTGAAGAGTCCCCTGGGCAGCTGGGCCAACCCCTGCTCTTTCCTATCACTGTCTGGCTAGAAGATTTTGGTGAGGGACTCCCTGTCCCTGAATTGTTTTCCCTCACTCGTAGCTTAATACTGGTACTTCGTTCAAAGCCAGCCTGTAAGTATAAGGCAAGCTAGTGAAGATGGAGACCTCTGGCCAGTGTCCGACACACAGACTGAGCTCATCCTACAGAGACTATGATAACATAATATAAAAAGACTTTATCTAAACTAAGCATGGGGCTGGGGATGTGGCAAAAGCGGTAGCGCGCTCTCCTGGCATGCGTGCGGCCTGGGTTCGATCCTCAGCACCACATAAAAACAAAGATGTTGTGGCCGCCAAAAACTAAAAAAAAATAAATATTTAAAAAATTAAATAAATAAATAAACTAAGCATGGTGGTACACACTTGTAATCCCAGTGACTCGGGAAACTGAGGCAGGAGGATCTCAAGTTCAGGCCAGCCTCAGCAATTCAGCAAGGTTAACTTAGGGAGATGCTGTCTCAAAAAAAAAAAAAAAAAAAAAAAACACATTAAAAGGGCTGGGATTGTAGCTCAGTGGTATACATCCCTGGGTTTAATCGCCAGTCCAAAAAGAATACATAATCTTCATTACTTCTTCTGGTAGCCCTGACTCAAAAAATTTTGGTTTTTTTTTCCCCATTGTCTGAATGGTGTGAATCTATGAAATGGACTTAGTTGTTGAATCACAGATGAATACTTCATCTCTCCCTCATTTTAACAGTTTGACTTTTTTATTGTGCAAAATTTATTGAATGAGATGTAGCATTTTTAGTTGCAGTGAGGTCTGGCCTTCTGCAAGCCCTTGACCAGGGAGACCTTTGTATGCTTGTTGGATAGGATGCTAGTTCTCAAAGTCTACCTCGGGAGTTCAGAAGAATATGGGATAGCAGTTAAGGGTGGGATTGCCATCTCAACTCCAATTCCTGTCGCTTAGGCAAGCCTCCTACCTGTGCCTTTCAGCAGTCATTGAGTTCTTAGCCATCTAGCTATTCATGGCATTTCATCACAGCTCTAACTTGGGGGGTGTGAGTGAGTGGCACAGTAGGGCTGGGGAGAAGGACCACTTAGCTGTGGTACACTTCAATGCTGGTTGTAGTCTTGCAGCAGTCCTGGCTGAGCAGCAGTACCAGTGCCAAGCGGGATTTAACTTTAATTCTTTCTTTGTATAGGTGAAGGCCCATGGTCCTGGCCTTAAAGGTGGTCTTGTGGGCAAGCCTGCCGAGTTCACCATTGACACTAAAGGAGCTGGAACTGGAGGTTTGGGCCTAACAGTGGAAGGTCCTTGTGAGGCCAAAATTGAATGCTCTGACAATGGTGATGGGACCTGCTCTGTCTCTTACCTTCCCACAAAACCTGGGGAATACTTCGTCAACATTCTCTTTGAAGAAGTCCACATACCTGGGTCTCCCTTCAAAGCCGACATTGAAATGCCATTTGACCCCTCTAAGGTTGTGGCATCAGGACCAGGTCTCGAGCTCGGGAAAGTGGGTGAAGTTGGGCTTCTTAGCGTTGACTGTTCRGAAGCAGGTCCTGGGACACTGGGCATGGAAGCCATCTCAGACTCAGGAACAAAAGCGGAAGTCTGCATTCAGAACAACAAAGACGGCACCTACGCGGTGACCTATGTGCCGCTAACAGCTGGCATGTACACACTGACCATGAAGTATGGTGGGGAGCTTGTGCCACACTTTCCTGCCCAGGTCAAGGTGGAGCCCGCTGTGGACACTAGCAGGGTCAAAGTCTTCGGGCCAGGAATAGAAGGAAAAGGTGGGTTTTATTTTTAAATAAGGGAAAGGCTGGAACTTAAGGGCTACCAGAGGCTCACAGGCTACCAGCCCCCTAGACTTTTAGGGGCCAGGTGAGGTGTAAGAGGACATGTACCTGTGGCCTCTGCTTCAGAGAATGATTGTGGGGAAACCTGGATGAAGTGGGGAGCACATTGCTTTTCCAGAGGCTGCTTTGCTGCCCACCCCTGTTTCTGTTTCCCCGTGGGAAATGGGGTCCAGCATTGTCAGCAGATTTTCCAAATTTTTTTGTGGCAAAGCCAGAAATATTGATTTTTTTTTTTGGTTCAATATTAGAAACAACTTATTTCATTGTCAACACTTCATTGAAAAAAATAGTTTAAATGTGATGCTGGCTAACACCACACATGCTGCAGACAGCAGGTCCGCCTGTATTCTTTAACTTGTCCTAGAACCCCACCTCTGTGTATGCAGGTCCCTAAAAGGGGTTGTGTTGTCACAGACCAAGACTATCCTGAAAGAGGAAAAGGGGTTAATAGTCCCGATTTTGAGAGTAAAGAAACCAGTTGTCTGCTGTCATTGAAGTTAGACTTAATTCTAGTGTTTTGGGGTTTGCTATTGGGTGCAAGGTGTTTTTTGGGACATTCTTGTCTGTGTTGTTGCTCTGCAGATGTGTTTAGAGAAGCCACCACTGACTTCACTGTTGACTCAAGGCCCCTGACCCAGGTAGGGGGTGACCACATCAAGGCCCACATTGCCAACCCTTCAGGAGCCTCCACTGAGTGCTTTGTCACAGACAATGCTGATGGGACCTATCAAGTGGAGTATACACCCTTTGAGAAAGGTAAGATTTGCTTTTCTTGGATGTGACCCTTAATCAAAGCCATGCTGACCCCTGACCTATGTGCTGGACCCATCTCAGGAGATGCATGTATAAACTGAAAAGGAATGTGAAACCTCTCTCCCCAGTAGGCTACCTGCCTGCTCAGTGCCTGGCTTGCTAGTCTTTTTGTATAACAGGTAGGCTGGGGCTTAGCCTCAGCCTCACCTGAGCAGGTATGGGGTGATGTCAAGGTATGTTGTTCATTTGTGCTATTTTTTTGTAGGTGCATATCGGGTTTCCTGTAGTCTATTGGTTAATAGCTAGATGGAGTTTTCTTGAATTAGGATAATATACTTGAATTATGACTTGAATATAGATATATTGATACTTGCTTGGGGTAGCATGGGTGTGTTACGTCAAGTAAATTGCATTAATAATTTGCTTTTTTTWAAAAAAAAAAAAAAGAACCCATCTATACCAAAATTATTGTTTTTTTCAACCTACTCTTTTCACATGACATAGACTTGAATGACAGATAAAACCCTTAAGTACAATATCACTTTCCACAAATAAGTGAACTTTATGCAAATATTTATTTCTGTTTGTTGTTTTGAACAGGTCTCCATGTAGTGGAGGTGACATATGACGATGTACCCATCCCAAACAGTCCTTTCAAAGTAGCTGTAACTGAAGGCTGTCAGCCATCACGGGTCCAAGCCCAAGGTCCTGGATTGAAAGAGGCATTTACCAACAAACCTAATGTCTTCACTGTTGTTACCAGGTAGGCAGGGCCCTGGGCTCCATGTATTAAGTCTGTAAAAGGAATAGTCCTATGTAATTTAACTGCTTTAAAAAAGTTTAAGGGCTGTACCCTACAGATGTGTTATGGTCTACCATCATATGTTGAAATGCATTTTTGTAACATGTTAGTCATTTTCTTTTATAGAGACTATGTTGTAGAGAAAGACCAATTGTAGTGCCTAATAAAAACCAAAAAACAAACAAAAAAACTTCTAAGCAAACTAGGACTAGAGAGAAGCGTCTTATTCTGATAATGCAGAAGTGTATAGCCAACCTTATATATAAAGGAATAATTAGAAATATTCCTATTAAAATGGACCACAAAGAAGGCTGGGGGTTGGGTCGCTCAGTGGTAGAGCACATGCTTAGCATGCACAATGCTTTGGGTTCAGTCCCTTGGGTGGAGTGGGCACGTATCTACATTGTATTTGCATTGTTAGCCAATGCAACTTGATAAGAAAAACAAATGAAGGAAGCATTGGAAAGGAGAGGTCAAGGCTGTATTTATATTAGACTGTTGAGAAATACCCTGGGAGAGAGGTGTTGACATGTTTGCAGAATGAGGATGGCTCAATGAAATAGTTACTTATTATAAATGGATTTTAAAATGAATTCTGGCAATAAACAGACTAGCATGGACTGTAAACATTTCACTTTTTTCTCTACTCTTTTCTCAGAGGGGCAGGAATCGGTGGGCTTGGCATAACTGTTGAGGGACCATCAGAATCGAAGATAAACTGCAGAGACAACAAAGATGGCAGCTGCAGTGCTGAGTACATCCCCTTTGCCCCAGGGGATTATGATGTTAACATCACTTATGGAGGAGCCCACATCCCTGGTAAGCTATGCAGTGGACAGGAGTCCAAACACTAACTGATTTTGGGTGAAAATAAGTTTGATTTTGCTTATTTCTTTTAAATAGGAAAAAAAAAATCTGATATTTGTGGTAGCTGTAGAGGGGGACTTTTCCCTTTTCAGGATAGAGCCCCACCCCAGGAACCCAGGAATAGGAAGAACCTCAGTGGCTCATATAGTTTTCTCAATAACCTGGCATGATGCTGAGAGGGAAATGGGCAGGCTGAACACCCCACTTATGGCTTTCTGGATTGATTCCCAGGAAGCTTGAGTCACCACACACTTCCCTGATTCTGTCCCCTCTTTCTCTCTTACCATGTACAAATGTGCATACACAGTCACAGTCACTCTCTCACACATATTGATCAGAAAGTATTGGCATTGAACACAAATTAATTCTACTCACATGTCCATATGAAATGTCAAAGGGACAAGTTTTTCCTCAAATTTGTGCTTGCACTCATTCAATAGAGATTTTAAAGATTATCAGGGTATTTCAGCCTCTGCCTCCTACCCCTAATACTATCTATTGTTTTTGCAACTGAAACTTGTAATAATTGGTACAAAGAAGAATGGAACTAGGTGACAAGATAAAGTTACAGGAGTTTTGGAGTTTTGAGAGAGTTGAGCATCAAGAGAGAGGACATGGTGACTTAATTAGGTGGGTGATAAGCATCTGGTTGTGGCAGCATTAGAGCTCCTTTTGACTCTTGGGAAAGTGCTAGGTACCATCAGCCTTGGAATTCCCCTACAGAAATGGATGAGCATTCAGGCTCTGGTGGCTGACCCATGAGCTTACTACTAGAAAACAGAAAAAAGACTCATTTTGGGTATTCCCATTAGATGTTAATGATGTCTGCATTCATTTTCTCCTGAACCCCAGAACTCTATCTCAAGCAAAGACATTTAGTTAAGTGATGGTTGTAGTCTTAGTGTTAAGCTATGTAGCTAAGGTAACTCCAAAGGCACTGAAAGATTTGGTGACCTGCTAGCTTCTAATTGCTTTCGTGGGAATTCTGGGTGGTTAAATATGAGCCCACTTTTTCCTAGAGATACAAACCTCTAGTGGGATTTTGTTTATTTGTTTTTTTGTCAGTGCTAGGGATAGAACCCAGAACCTCGTGCATGCTAGGCAAGCATTCTACCACTGAGCTCCCTACTCAGCCCTCTAGTGGGGTTTTGAACAAAGTATCCTGTCATGCTCATAATGGCTTATTTGTTTCCTGTGGTGGACCAGCTGTGGTCTGTTGGTGACTGCCAAGACCACCAGGTTGACTAGGATTCAGAGTGTGTCAGGAGGAAGGGCTGCCATGATTGATTGATGTGTGCCTGAGGCAGGGACCAGGGGACTGATGGCAGACTTCCATCTTGAAATTAAGATTTTTACCTTTGTGTGTTGCTTCATACCTGCTCTCATGCTGATTCTCTGATGACTTAGAGAGTGGCCTCAGAGGTAGTCCTTGGCCACCCCCCCTTGTCATTGAAGTCCTCATCTACTATGAAATGAAGCTCCAATTTCTTTCCCTAAACCACAGCATGGAGGGCTGTGCTCATCTTTGCTGGGGTCAGCCATTATTTCATTTACTTGAAGAACTAGATGCCATTGAAACTCTGCTATGTTGTTAGAAAACCAGGGTCTTGGTTCATTGTGTGGTCTTTGTTATTTACCACCCCTAGATCTATAGATAAACTTTCTAGGATGTAAGACAGAGAGACTTTGGATTCCATGGCTGTTAGACATCTGGTAATTGTCAGGTGTCATGGGAAACATAAGAACTCTACACATGCCAAGGAGTTCATGGAGCTTGGCAAGGGACTTGGCAGCTTAAAGCCTGGTACTGAGGACACTGGGGCTTCTGTTTCTGGGGAGGTCCCTGTCCTTAGGGAGTTACATTAAGATTCCTGCCCCAGACCTTATTCCTCTGTTTAGTGCTTTTCTTATAAACTCTGATCTTCCTGCATTCTCCATATTTTACTGGTCTTTAAAATTGATACTGTGGTAGGAGTCAGAGGCCCTCAGGTTTGCTCTTGGGGTCAGCCATGCAGCAGGTCCATCCAGAAATCTCAATTGTTCAGGGAACCAAGAAGGCTGTGTGTGTTTGGGGGATGCTGGCTGTGTTGGAGGGATGGAATGAAGGAACCATTTGTGGGAGAGGAGGTTGGATATAGTCTTCAAGGCCTGCCTGTCCTCCCATCACCCAGCCTCCTCCTTCAGTTCCTCCAGCAGCCTGTCTTCCCCTCACCTCTAGGCTTCTGCACAAGCTGGTCCCTCTGCTGGTCCATCTACTTCCCCTGGGTGATAGCTGCTCTTTCTTCTGTCTCAACTCAGATGTTACTGGAAGGTTTCCTCTGGTCTCCTAAGACAAGGTTCAATGTCTCCTAAGTGTTTCACCTGATACCCCTTCCCACATATGTTATGTAGGATATTAGAGTGACATGCTCACAACTTGCCCTGACTTGCAGGCTCCTTAAGGGTTGTTAGCCACTGAGTAGACACCTGGCACAGTGTCTACATGTAGTAGGTGCTCCATGGCCATTGATTGGGCACATGGGTAAGCACAGCAAGGCAGGGGGAGCTTATAGAGGCCTATTAAAATTGAGGTCCCTCATGTGATTCTGTGTGTGCATAGATGGGTCTCCAATTGCAGATACTCAAAATCCCATGACCTGTTTTCCAGGTAGCCCCTTCAGGGTTCCTGTGAAGGATGTTGTGGACCCCAGCAAGGTCAAAATTGCTGGCCCTGGGCTGGGCTCTGGCGTCCGAGCCCGCATCCCACAGTCCTTCACTGTGGACAGCAGCAAAGCTGGCCTGGCCCCATTGGAAGTGAGGGTCTTGGGCCCCCGAGGTAAGTATGTGTCCTGCCTCCCTGCCAACATCACTTATCTGGGTGGGGACAGCCATGACCCAGAACAGGTATTTGCTTTCAAATATGATCATGAACTTAAGATTATTATTGCTGATAATCTAGCTAAACTGTAAAAGATCCTGCTTAAAAGTAGGCAGGCCTGTTATTTCTTTAGAAGTCTGTCTTCCCCCATCCCCTTAACGACATGGCCTTAAATTTCTTTCTTTCTTTCTTTCTTTTTTTTTTTTTTTTTTTTTGATACTAGGGATTGAATTCAGGGACACTTGACCACTGAGCCATATCCACAGCCCTATTTTACATTTTATTTACAGACAGAGTCTCACGGAGTTGCTTAGCGCCTCACTTTTGCTGAGGCTGGCTTTGAACTCCTTCCTCAGCCTCCCGAGCTGCCAGGATTACAGGTGTGCACCATTGTGCCTGGCTCTTAAATTTCTTTTAATAATTTCACTTGTTAGAGTAGCTAGTTGAAGCAAGTAGTATATGGGCTCTCATGTAAAATTACTGTGATTGCCACAAGCAACTCAGTGAGACCTTGTCTCTAAATAAAAGTCCCTCGTACCAAAAAAAGAAAGAAAGAAAGAAAAAAAAAATGTTGCCACTTCTTCATTATCTACTTCAGCATTTATGAGGTGTCTAAGGGGGAAGTCCAGATGTATGGAAGGGGTGAGATTTGAAGGCAGTAATTCTCTTTGAGATGCCTCCATGCTCATGTAGAAAATTCCAGAATCTCTGAGAGTGCTAGCTCTGTGGTATTGTGTGGTTCAGCCTCTAGGAGAGGAAAGATGGTCTTTTGGGGAATGGGGTGGATGTTTTTTGTTTTTTTTCCCCCCCCCACTGGCCTGCCCTGTTTGCAGTCTAGAATTTAGGATTGGTGTGGCAAGCAGGGTATTTGGGGACAAAACCCCAAACTATGTTGAAACATGACTTTTTGGGTAAGTGACCGCATTCACATTCCCTCTTTTGGCATTTAAAATGTGCCTTTATTCTCATACACAATTCTTAAATAATCTGGATTTTTCCCTGTTCTGTGTTCTTGGCTTCCAGGAGTGACAAATAGGGGGTTCCTTCTTTGAAGAGGAACCTTCTCCTTAATGGGGTTCAGCAGGAGGTTAGGCCCTTTGAAGCTCAGGGCAGAAGTGGTTTGGGGGAAATGAGGTCATGGGACTGGACTCCAATTCTGTGAAGTTACTGAGCTTTAAGACGTGCGTGCATGCATGTGTTTGTGTGAAAGTTTTACTTAGATATCTTCTTTTATCATGGAGAACTCTCAAGTAACAGCCTTTTAATTTTAGCTGATGAGATGGATTCCCAGTCATGGCGCAGCCCCTTGAAAGCCATTTCAGAGTTCTTTAAAGGTGACCCGAAGGGTGACTTTATGGAGACAGGTTTGCATTTTTCCATTGGGCTGCTGCTTTAAATTATGTAACCTAAATTCTTCTTGCTGGCCTTGCCTCTAAAGTTGGCTTGTAGCTGCCTCACCTGCTTTATTTAATGAGCATGCTATGCTTTGATTAGTCTACCCTGCCATTGACCGATCTTGACTCTCATGTTAAGGACTGCAATCTGGAATCTATCAACACAGTGCATGCCTTGATTATGCTTTAACGTGATCTCTAAGCATCCCCTACAGACATCACATTGAAGGTCTCCTCATCCCATGAGATTGACACCCTCACCTGCCCTGTACCTACATCCCAGCATGCTAGCATTTTATAGTGGTCTTTGCTCAAAAATGATCACAGATCTTGACTGGCCATCCCATTGGTTAACTTTTGCTGTTCAGGGTTCTGGACTTTTGGGCACTTTCTCAGCTACAGAGTAAAAATTGCCACATCCCAAGCATGCCTAACCAGCTTGAAAGGATATAGCATGTCCACAACATGTGCCTTCACCATACGCCCTCCAGCAGCAAGCACAGGCAGTCTCCTTAATTATACTCTAGGGCAGACTGAGTGTACTTTAGCCAACCCCAAAAGCTAAAGGTGTCTCTTGGGGTCATTTCTGCAACCATGAATTGGGGATCCTGTGATTTCTTAGGCCTATGATTATGGCCTGCTTGCCTTTATGTTACTCATCAGTGGAAACCAATAGCTCTTGAGGATAAATGTGATGCTGTTTCAGACGCAGCCAAGGGTGAAGTGAATTGGAGGCCAAGCAGTCACTCTGACCTCTCATCTCTGTCCTCAGGTCTGGTGGAGCCAGTGAATGTGGTGGATAATGGGGATGGCACACACACGGTGACCTATACCCCATCGCAGGAGGGGCCTTACATGGTCTCAGTTAAATATGCTGATGAAGAGATCCCACGAAGGTAAGTGCCTCTCACCTGAGGCATGGATCTAAACCAGCCTCAAGCCCACCCAGCTGCAGGATTGGCTAGCATTGCTGTGGTAGCCCCACCCACCCACTTACCCATTCATCCAATCAGCAGATTTTATCCTGAACCTGTGTTTTCCACACACATTATACACTAGTTTGTTATTTGCAGTTCCCATTCTGCTGTCCTGCCTTTACTTTTATCCATCTTTAGTTTAAAAGCAAGCTGAAATTAAGAAGATAGGGAATTTTGAAAAAACAAGGAATATATTAGTTTACCAGAAGCTCCCATTTGGTAACTGTTCAAATGGTTTTCTCATTAAGACAAAGGTCTTTACCATTTAATTTGAGAGTCTGGTTGACAGTAAACATTCTCAGAAAGATGTTGGGTTGCAGCTTTGTTCCTTGTTTATATCAAAACAAAAAATGTGTAAGTTCTTTAGCTCTGGAATAACATCAAAAATTTTTTTAATCATGCCCCTTAAAATGGAAGACTTACCTCTAACCTTAATATATACATTTTATATGGAGATCAAAACATAGCTAGCTCTAGCTGTGTAGATATTCATTATTTATGAATTACATTTGCATATTGCTTTACTTGTCGATTGTGTACCATGTAAAGCATACTAAATATAGAACAAGAATAAATATCATTGTAGAATGAGATAAAATATTAAAGACTGGTATTCTTTCCATTTTGGTTACCATTGTCTTAGCATAATAAAAGTATTAAATGGGTTTAACCCCGAGTTTCCCAAACTAATTTGGGAGCCTGTCTTCCCTAAACTATTTATATTCCATGAAATGAACTCAGGGCAAGGCTGGTCTGGCATATGATGGCTACTATCTCATAATTCTAAATTTCTACTGGACTTAAGCCACTTTGATTAAACTCATTTTCTTATCTCCTATAGAAATACTCTTGTCAGTCCTAGTCTGGCTGTGTAAGAGAGGTCAGATGTGGCTGGACTGACCCATATGCTTACTGACTAGGGTATTTGTCTATCAAGTCCCTTTAAGGTCAAGGTTCTTCCCACATATGATGCCAGCAAAGTGACTGCCAGTGGCCCTGGCCTCAGTTCCTATGGGGTGCCCGCCAGTCTGCCCGTGGAGTTTGCTATCGACGCCAGAGATGCTGGGGAAGGCCTGCTTGCTGTCCAGATAACGGTAACCTTGAACTGTTTTTTTGAGCCAAACCTTATTAGTAAGACCTAATTTTCTCGCCAAGGATAAGAACAAGGGTTTTCATAACTAAAACCAGAACTGATGCAATTATTTGTTAGATTTTTCCAAGAGTCACTGTATGTGTGGGAGAATAAGCATGCTCACCTGAGAGGCTTTATTTATTTATTTATTTATTTATTTATTTAGGTGGTGCTGGGGACTGAACCCAGGGCCTTCTGTATGTGAGGCAAGCACTCTCCCAACTGAGCTATATCCCCATCCCAACCTGAGAGGTTTCACTCTGGGTGTCACTTTGTAGTAAATCTCCTGTATTTTCATGTTACATCTCTGTTTTTATTTTTTAAATGTTTTAAATTACCTATTGGATCATTTGGGACTACTTTCTGCTATATATCCCAGTAATCCCCCAAATAAGTATGGCTTCAACATAAGATCATCCTCTCTTGGTAAAGAAGCCAGGTGGTAAGCCACTGAGGTATTCTATGGCTCTCCAAGGGAACCAGCTCCATCTCTGTGCTCCTCTGTCCTAGTGTGTGGCTTCTGTCTTTAAGTTCTCCTCATGCCCATGAGACTGTCAGTGCTCTGGCCATCAGATCTACATGGCAGGCCAGGAGGAGGAAAAAGGGAAGATGGAGAAGTGGGGCGCTCTTCCAACTCAGTCAGCTATCTTAAGCAGCCCTGTCAGAAGACTTCCAGCCTGTCTCATTTGGTAGAAGTTAACCATGAATCACATGGCCATGTGTGGTACCAAGGATGCCAAGACATGGAGCTTTGTATTTTGGGGGCTATGTACCTCGCCAAGAATGAGGGAGTCCTATTAGTAAAGGACACAGGGAAAGTAGATGTAGCAGCATGTGAGCAGGAGATTCTCCCCTTACCTCTGCATTTCATGCATTTGGAGCTAAAACATTATTTGTTTACTTAACAGATCATTGTGGTTTGATCTGTGACCCTGTCCTCTGCCTACCAACACAGCAGAACAAGATTATGTTAAGCCATCACTTCTGTCTCCTCCCACTAAAAGCACGAATCAATGAGCAAGATATGTCAAGAATTTCCATGAACTTGCTCTACCTGTTGGAAGCAACATCCTGAGTAGCATATCTCTTTTATCCACAGGACCAAGAAGGAAAACCCAAAAGAGCCACTGTCCACGACAATAAAGATGGCACATATGCTGTCACCTACATCCCTGACAAGACTGGACGCTATATGATTGGGGTCACCTATGGGGGGGATGACATCCCGCTTTCTCCTTACCGCATCCGAGCCATGCAGTCGGGTGACGCCAGCAAGTGCCTGGCCACGGGTGAGTGCAGGGTAACATTAGGGCCAGGAGGGTGGATTGTGGAGTCAGAAAGCTAGGTTCTAGCCCTTCTCCACCACTTAATAGCTGTGTTATCTGGGCGAGTTGCTCAATCTCTCTGAGCTTCAATCATACATAGATTGAAGATCTCTTTGGGGAACGTTCAGGTTCAAGAAGTCCTTGCATGGGTCAGAGACTGTTCCACAGGATTTGCAAAAATTAGATGAGGGTGAGGCATGAAAAATGCTGAGCCCAGTGCCAGGTTCATGGGAGCTATTTATTATATCACTTTTGAAGTGGCTATATTTGTTGAGGTCTCAACTATGATGGTGACTCCCATGAGAAGCTGCAATTTTCTGCCTTCATGAGTAGATGGTTGAGTTATTTAAGATTCAGGAGCATTTCAGTTCAGCATCAGAGAAACACATGAAAGGATCTAGGGTTTTCCTTTCAGGAATTCTCCATGGATAACTGAGCCTCACTGTTCCTTCAATTTCTTAGGTATGAATAGTTGACTGTCATGGGCCTTTCAATTTGTAAGAATAGCTTCTGCAGCTCAGGGTTGCTCCTCTAGCAGATTTCAAAACATGAAATAGATTTGCTTCTCTTGGGCCTGGGTTTTTTTTAATCTTTCATCTTACTCTGGCTTTTAGGTCAGGGTTGTCAACTGCTCCTCTTGGTCCTTTTTGTCTTACTCATTGCAAAAATTAAGAAATTTTGAAATGTTGGCCAGATTGCCGCCCCCGTTCCTGTAGTGACCCCTGACCCTAAAAGGGCATGTTAATGTGGGAAGGGGGTTTCCTTTTTGCTTTCCAGACTCTGTTTCCTCCCCTAGCACAACCAGAGTCCTGAGCAAAATACTCTCCTCGACAGTGTGGTTCCTGTTGGCCATATCTCTTGGTCTGTCCTTCATGGCCTTCCACAGATTGGCTCCAGTCTTCTCCTCTACCTACCCTCTGTGCAAATGTTCTTACCACTCCCTGATGCGCCTAAACTTCATGCTCATTTTTGCTGATGTGTTTTAGTTCACACTTCTCTGTACTTTCTGATTTTATATAGATCCTGGGTAAAGGAGTGCCATAAGTCAGAGAAAGAGACTGGCTATTGTTTGGAAAGAGGTTACTAAAAAAATGCCTATCCTTCAGAGTTGAACCATTTTTTTCTTTTTTGGGGGAGTGAGGGGGAAGATTGCCCTCTATCAATGTGGCAACTCTGAGATGTAAATTCTTAGAACCTTTGAATAGCTGGGAGGTGGAACACTTATCAGAAGAACGATTGATTATTTTATCTATGACTCAGTCCCTGCTCAGCCATTTCCATGGCAGATAGAGCTGTCATTCTTAGCACTGGCCCACATCTGTCTTGTTAGACTATGAGCATCTGAGAGGAGGGACTGTGTCTTGTTTCCCTTTGTATGGGCCTGGCTCTTAAGAGCATGCCTAGTGTGTTTGCTGATGATAGTCGACCTTCATCTCCATACCCTTGGACGTGAGCAAACCAGGCTGTTTCCTTTGGAGCTGAGGGGGACTCAGAGCTGACAGTTGCTCTTATTTATGAAGGATGGGTGGGATACTCCTTAAGCGGCACCCGCCCCCTCCGAAAAGGGAGAGTCCCATGTGGCAGCAGTTAAATGCCTAATATTTACAGCTTCAAGCAGCACAAATGTGTATGATTTGTTTTTGGGCCTCTGGAGCATGTGTCCCTGTTCATGCTTCTATTATCTTCTCCTGAACCTTTCCGCAGGTCCTGGCATTGCCCCCACTGTGAAAACTGGCGAGGAAGTGGGCTTTGTGGTGGACGCCAAGACTGCTGGGAAAGGGAAAGTGACCTGCACAATTCTCACCCCAGATGGTACTGAGGCTGAGGCTGATGTCATTGAAAATGAGGATGGCACCTATGACATTTTCTATACAGCCGCCAAGCCCGGCACTTATGTGATCTATGTGCGCTTTGGTGGTGTTGATATTCCAAATAGCCCCTTCACTGTCATGGTAAGTAAAATTCCTTCTCCAGAGTGTGCTCTTTTTAGCAGATACAGTAACAGCAGCCATTTGTTGAGCCCTGACTAGGATATCCTCTTCCACAGAGTCACGAGCTCATAGAGCCCTAGCATAATCTCCAGAATCATAGAGACCCTTTAGCTCTAAGGGTTTTGGGGGAATCTCATCAGCCACCAAAGTATCTATCATGCAGAGGAACTTGGACAAAGCCCTGGCCTAAGCCCAGTTCAAAAAGAAATACTCTCTTGAAAAATACACTTTTATAAAACAGAAAGGAAAACATGACAGTTTTCTCTCTGCTAGTTCTTCCTGTGTCTTCCTGCCTACCTCCATGGTTGGAGAAGAGAGAGTCCTGAGGCTTTTCGGTTTGCAGATTTGATTCTCTTATCTCAGGACTGAAAAGTACCTGCAGTTGTTTTTAGGGAAGATTCACACTTTACATATGAGAGGGGAAACACCTTGTCTTTTTTTTTTTTTTTTAATAGTTGTAGATGGACAGCATGCCTTTGTCTTATTTATTTATTTTTTATGTGGTGCTGAAGATCGAACCCAGAGCTTCTCAGATACTAGGCAAGCGCTCTGCCACTGAGCTATGGCCCCAGCCCAACACTTTGTCTTTTGAAGCAAGGAACATCTGGGATAGAAAGGAACCAGCATGTGAGCATCTGGGCTAACTCATAACTAGAGACTTTAATTTTCAGTTTTTTGGTTGAAATAATCAAATCTTCCTCTAGTTAGGTTATTCCACCAGGAGTGGGGATAGAACTTTAGGAGAATTACCTTATGTAACCCTCAGGACCAAGCCTGTTGGCCCTTTTACAAATGAGGTGTGCCTGGTCTAGACAGATCCCAGGTGCCATCCAGTCTCCCTCCCTATGCCCTTTGATGCAAGGAGCAGCCTCCATCCTCCACAGGTTCATAGGCCCCTGATGACCTGGCCCTGCCCACAGCCTGCAAAGTGCTTTGTAATTATTTCATGTTGTGCAGCGATGGAGAAGGACATAAAGGTTCCATTCCAAACAGAAGCCTGAGGATTTTCTTCCAAACAGTCTATAATCTATTATAGCTTTTTTTCTTTTCCCTTGACATTTGTATGTGTGTAAACATCATGCCAGAGGTCTGGAGGCTTTTTTCTATCTCAAGTATGTAAACACTTGTCAGCTTTGGATGTTGTCCATTGGGAGTGTTTTTCCCCTGCAGGGAAAAAAGCAGTGTAGCTCAAAAGTGTGTATCCTTATTATACAGAAGAGTCCCATTGTAGTTTTAAGAATATGGATGTTTTTATTTTATTTTATTTTATTTTTTTGTCCCTAGTGAGTTTTATGTTGTTAGAATTGGATGGAAGAGCAGCCTCCAAGTGGAGGTCATGGCTCTGCTGGTACAGTGGCCTGGGGATAAGAGACTCCAGATTGATAAGGTCAGAGTGAGAAAATCAGGGTGTAAAACATTGGGAATCATCTTAGCAGGTGAACCAGAGAGGCTGAAGTTGAGGCTTTTAACTTGGTTAGAATAAATGTCCCCTGATCCTTTAGTAAACAGGCAAGGATACTTTGTGGATGTTCACTACCCCCTGACCACTGCTGAAGGTAGAAATGCATGATCCCTCATGGTACCTGGTTTGGTACTTTATTCTCCCATTTCACACTTTCCCTAAACATTTCTAAATGAATTGACTTCCACTGGATAAGTTTTCTGCCTTCCCTTAGAGGGTTAAAGGCAAAAGGACATGGGCACCTGGCACTGCATTGGTAGTGTATATCTCAAGGACACCTGCAAGCTGATTCAGTTAGGTTCATCACATACATGGCCCATGACATCATGGATGAGCAGTTTTACTGCCTGTCACTGTTGAGAAGTCCTAGATCAAAGACCATAGTCTAACCCTTGGAAGATCTTTCTCCTGGCCAATGTAGTCCTGCATTCACCCCAGCTTGAACAGGCCCTGCAAGGCCTGTTCCTAAACTAGCAGCTCACAAGGCCTGCAAACAGAGCCCTTCTTGCATATACCACAGCACATAAAAAGAGCTAACCTGAGCACAAGGCCCCTGTAGAAGAAGCCTTTGCTGCTTGTTATGACAAAAGAAAGATGTTGAGGGGCTGCCTCCACATTGGGTCAGTTAGATCAGAAGCATGAAGTCTTGAGATTTTTAAAAAATGAATTTATACCAATGACTTGAGGCTGAGACAGGAGGATCATAAGTTCAAGCTGGCCTTGGCAACATAGCAAGAACCTTAGCAATTTAGGAGACCCTGTCCCCCCAAAATAAAAAGGACTGGGGATATAGCTCAGTGGTAAAGTGCCCCTGGCTTAAATCTCTGGTACCCTAAAAAAAAAAAAAAAAAAACCCTAAAGATATTTATCAAGTAAAAAGACCACTTTCTTGACCCCATGCTTCAGAGAGGACTGGTATCAGTTTTTCTCTGCTTATACAACAGATACCTCAGTTTTGTGCGTGGGATCATAACATATGTTATTTTACAACTTGCTTTCTTTTTTCAATATGCCATAGATACCTTTTCACATTAATTAATCAATTTCAGTGCTTCTTCAGAATGTTCACTCAGTGTTCCCTTGGACAGTCTTATCACAATTTATTTGACCAAAGTATCTTACTGATGGATATTAGGTTGCTTCATTCTTTCACAAGTGGCTCCTAGTAGAACTCCCTGTGCACATCAGTCATCTATGGTGTCTCCTGCCAGCATAGGCCTGCTAGAATTGGGATTGGGGGTTAAAGGACATGTACATTTGACAATTAAAAAGAGAACACCAACTTGTCCTCTAAAAGGTAGTATGAATGTATCCTCCTGCTAGAGGAAGCCCCTTCCTGCTGTACCAGGTGGAGCAGTGGGGAGGAGGCAGCTCCCAGGTTGTATCATTTGTTGAGTTACAATATCCCTCCAATGTGATTCCCAACTAATCTCCATTTGCCACTGACCAGGCCACGGATGGGGAAGTCACAGCCATGGAGGAGGCACCGGTAAATGCATGTCCCCCTGGATTCAGGCCCTGGGTACACCTTTGTTTTTGTTTTTTCTTTTTCCTTTTGTATTTCTGTGTTTACTCAACCTTCATTTCAGAAAAGCTGCCACCTGCTTCTCGGGATTGCTTAAGCCCTCTGGGTGTCCTGGTCATTGGTGTGTTCCTCCTACTGATCAGTCCATCATGATGATCCTGCTTTTTCTATAAGATCCACCTTTGTGTCAGCGTCCATGCTCCATGAATCGCCAGCCATCATGTCTGTGATCCCTCTTGGTGCAGTTTGTCTTCGTGTTTAAAGAGCAAGGTGGACAGTTCTCTGCAGGCCTCTTGCTGGCTCAGAGCTGCCACTTGCCCATTTGTTTTCTGTTCAGGGGCACAGCCACCTGCTGCTATTCTCTGGCACATAAAATGCACCTTCCTTTCCAGGCCACAAGCAACTAAACCTCTCCAGGTGGAGCCTCTTGGGACTTAGACATTGCTGTGTCTTACTTTTCCACTTTCTCATGGGCTCTGCTGGGAATTTTACAAGCAGGCTGCTGAGTGAATTTCTAGCTATTCATCAATGGGACTTCTCCAATCCTTCAAGTTCTGCTCTGGGCCCTTTGGTTAGTTAGACACAGTGCATAGGCAGCCATATCCCCAAGCTTGGCCTCACTGACTTGCAGAATTCCCAGCAGCTCTGCTCCCTATAGCTTCATTAGCTCATTTTGTTGCCCACTTGACCAGGTGATCACTGCTTCCTGTTTTTAGGTAACTGAAGAGGCGTATGTCCCAGTGAGTGACATGAATGGACTGGGATTTAAGCCTTTTGACTTGGTCATTCCATTTGCTGTCAGGAAAGGAGAAATCACAGGTAAGCCCTTCTTTGCATTGGGAGCCGAGAATGGTATTGGGGAGATACCACTATCCCACAGACCTAGGATCCTTAACCCAGTGCCCCTGGTACTTGCTCTGGGGCATAGTCCTGTATTACTTTCTTAAGAGAGCCTGTGATTCCCTCTAGGTTTAGAATTGCTGTTTTAGATACCTCCTGACTGTTAGGTTCCTGTTTCCCCTTTTCTTTCTGCCTTTTTTTTTAAAAATATTTTTTAGTGTTGACAGACCTTTATTTTATTCATTTATTTATATGCGGTGCTGAGAATTGAACCTAGTGCTTCACACATGTGAGGCAAGCTGTCTACCACTGAGCCACAACCCCAGCCCCTCTGCCTTTTCTTATTTGTCCACTTTTCCAAATGCAGTTGATGCTGAGGTTGGGTATACAAGAGTTACTTTCTCTCCTTGCCCCTTTCTAATGCCAGCTTCTCTTTGAGTAAATGTTCTATTTATCCTGCTGGTTTTGTGGTCCTCTCAAGTCCTATTTGAGCTTCTAATTTGCCAGTTGTAGAAACCCTTTACTTATGAGTTGCCTGCTGCATTTTGTGGAAGCCAACGGGAACCAAAAAAAAGCAAAATAGGTCTCCATTTTCCATCTGTGGGACTTGGATGTTTTAGGCAGCATCAGTCTTCTTGGGTCTGAAAACCTGTGTTTTGAGGACGTTTCTGTGTTGCGCTCAGCTTCTTGGAGAAAGTCACCATGAGCCCATTACCCTGTGTCCCTGTGCTCCACAGGAGAGGTCCACATGCCTTCTGGGAAGACAGCCACACCTGAGATTGTGGACAACAAAGATGGAACAGTAACCGTCAGATATGCCCCCACTGAGGTCGGGCTCCACGAGATGCACATCAAATACATGGGCAGCCACATCCCTGGTAAGTGGGATTCAGCAGCGTGGCCAGCAAAACCAGCAGGACTCTACGATTCAAGGACCTGAAAAACTGGGGGGCTGGCAGACGTTCCAGGCAGGCCGTGCAATAAATGGTTCTCAGTGGCAGGCTTAGGGAATGCAGCCTTGGCATCCCTGTGAAACCAGGAAGCCTAGGATCCCAGCACATCCAGCCAGTTTCCCAAAGAGATGATGCAGCTCTGCCTCCTGGGTCTCAGTGCAAGCCTTCAGGCCTGTGGTTGTTTGTCTTTGTTGCTACATGATGGAATATGACCAGAGGTCAAGCTGGGAGAAAAATGTGAGGCACAGTGAGGGACTTTCCAGCCTGGCCTGCAGAACCCTGTGTGGTGTGGGGTTTGGGGCAGGGTCAGAGCAGGGACAGAAGGGTGGACAGCCTTGACAAGGAAAGCCAGCTCAAGTTTCGTGGCCATCAAACAACATAGTGCTAGTCTTTTTCTTTTCTTTTTTCTTTTGTCTTTGTTCAAATATTTTTTTAGTCTCATTTTTTGAGTAAGTAGCATATTCATCACATGGTTTAAAAACAAAAGCCATGTGGAGAACTGTTCCCCGCCCACCCACTCATTTCTTCCATCTACCCTCTTCTTAAATATATTAGTGATTTCTTATGCTCGATTTCAGGATATTTTAAGAAATGGATTAGGCACCCCCACCTCCCCATAAACATAAATAGTAGCATCTGTACACATTTATCTATCTTTGCTCTTTTCATCTCTCATATGGACCTTCACCCTGTTTGGATGAGCCATTATATATGTGACCAATTTCCTTTCAGAGGGCGTTTCTGGTTCCACATTTTAGCTGTCACCAGTCTTTTTACATCCATCTTCTCACATTTTTCACTGGGTACCTGTGGGAGTTAGGCCTTAGAGGTGTGGGACACAGGTGCTGTCTTCTGTGGGTTGGCTATATCTTGCCAAATTGCCCTTCCTGGGGGCTACTCCATCCATACCCCCACCAGCAGTGGAGGAGAGCGCTTGCCTCTTCACAGCATGGACAGGGAAATGTGCTTTCAGATTTTTGGATCTTTGTGAGTATGAAGTTGAGGAAAGCAGTATCTCAGAGTTGCTTTATTTGCATTTCTCTTGTGAACCAGATCGAGCAACTGTCCATACATTTGAGTGCTGTTCATATTTCTTTTGCTGTGAACTGAACATTTCTATCCTTGGTCTATTTTTCTATTTGGTTACTGGCCTTTGTCATATTGATTTTGGAGTACAATGTAAATATTAGAGAAATTAGCCCTTCATGATAGCAGTTGCTAATACTTGTCTGAGTTTCGCATTTCCTTTTGTTTATGTTGGTATGTATGCATGATATTTAAAGAACAAATGTATTATCTACATCTATTTAAATATTCTAGAGATACAGATGGTAGAGAGAGTAAGAAAATGTCTTTCTCACATTGCCTTTCTACTCCCTGCCTGGGTAAATCAGGTGTTTCTCTGTATTCCTGCTAACATGCATACAGTTGTGTTCTGTTCTGTTTTTGAAAGAAAGACAAATTGGTATTAATATTATATAGCCACTTTTTCTCTTTTTAACACAACCTACTATGGATAATCTCTCAAGTTAGAACACAAAAATCTCTCTCTTGTTTATTTTTAAATGGCCAGCGAATAGACCTATTTTTCCTGTATCGTTGGACACTGGGGTCTTTTCCTGATTTGCATGTGAACACTGTAGGAATTAAAGTGTTCTTTGCATAGGGCTGGGAATGAATCCCCACTGTGGGATCCATTACTATCTCCCTAGATCAATAAGGACTTCCATTTTGAATGGCACAGGCAAATGGCCTTCCAAAAAAGACTTTTCCAGACCTTTCCCTCTAGTAGTAGATCATTTCCTCTCATACAGTGCAGTGATTCCTCCACTTTAGCCACTGGCCCCCAACCCCAGTCTGGAGTAGCCCTGGGGACTGTTTTTCTCTTGTAATTGAGTGGAGGAATGATACTCATTTGACCCCCTCAGAGTCCTAATATGGTGAARCAAGGCATCTCCTTTTATCTTCCACCTCTCCTCAGGAACCTGCCTGTGGTTGGGTGAACTAACATTAAAATACCTGTCATCTGAGTGCTCGTTTATCATCTAATGAATTCTAATTTTGTGTTTTTCTTTGGCAAACCCAGAGAGCCCTCTCCAGTTCTATGTGAACTATCCCAACAGTGGGAGCGTTTCTGCATATGGTCCAGGCCTGGTGTATGGAGTAGCTAACAAAACGGCCACCTTCACGATTGTCACCGAGGACGCAGGAGAAGGTACTGGGTGGTTTAATGTTTATGTGCTTCTGGCCTTCCATTTGGGGAGTTAAGTGGACATGATTCCAGGGAAGCTTTTTTAAATGAAATTATTACCAGGTACTGTGGCACACACCTGTAGTCTCAACACTGGGAGGTTGAGAGGGGAGGATTACTTGAACCCAGGAATTTGAGACCAGCCTGAGCAATGTAGCAAGACTTTGTCTCCAAAAAAAAAGAAAATATTGAGTAGTAATATTTGCATTATCTTTTCCTCTCACATAGATCTATGTATCCTTTAGGTCGACTCTGTCTTCTACCTATTACAGAATTTCTTTTTCTGGGGACAGAATCGATGGCTTTGAGCATGCTAACCAAGCACTCTACCTACCACTGAGCTATATGCCCAGTGTTCCAATACAGAAATTTTTGAAGTCCTGTGTTCCAATTAAAATCAAATTTGTACTATGAAATATTTTATATGACTCACCTGGAATTAACGTGCTTTTGTTGAAGATGTTCTTCTTGTCCTTTTTGCACATGTATCCACAGATCCTCCTGTAAGTTTTTTTAGCAACTCATTCTAGTTAAAGCTCTGTGCCCATGTCCCTTGTATTTCCTAACCTGTGGTTCTAGTGGATTTCTATGATGGTGTCTAGCTAACAGGGATAGAATGTGTCTGGCACCACCCTGTATGTGTTACTGACCTACAGGGCTCCATGTCATTCTTGTCCCACCTGTCCTGAAGAGTTAGGGGTTACTAGAGAGAACCCAAGGCAGACAATGGGGTGTCTGCCCAGTGAGCTTTTCCCTCTTGTAAATTGCTTCTTTGTTACCTAGGCCCCTTGTACAGCACACACATGGAATATGTCAGCCTGTTGTCCCTGGCATCAGGGTTGCCCTGGCTAAGTTGTCCCTGTGGAGACAAGGAAAGTCTCTTAACTGCCCTCCCTCCCTGGTTCACTCATAGGTGGTCTCGATTTGGCTATTGAGGGACCCTCGAAGGCAGAAATCAGCTGCATTGACAACAAAGATGGGACGTGCACCGTGACCTACCTGCCTACACTGCCAGGCGACTATAGCATTCTGGTCAAGTACAATGACAAGCACATTCCTGGCAGCCCCTTCACAGCCAAGATCACAGGTGGGTTCCCTGGTTTGCTAGGGTTGTCCTCATGGGACGATATACCTGCCTCAGACAGCCATTCTCTCTGCATGAGACCAGGGGTGGCAAGCTGTATCTGTCTGAATTTAGGTTTCATAGAGACTCTTTGGAGGAGCATCCATGGTGTAAGTCCACCTTCAGGCAGGCTAAATTCTTCTCTTCACTGATAACTTAGGGAAAACCAAAAGCTACCATTTCGAGGATGATTATTTTACACCAGTATAACTTCATCATGCAAAGAACAAGCCCTCAGAGAGAGGCATGCAGATAATACAGCATGAGTACAATAGCTCAGAGAAGTCCAGCATCACTACCAGGCAGGTTTTCTGTTCTCCATTTTATAGATGAGAAAACCATGGCTTGGTAAGGTAGTAGCTTAGTTGAGTTCTCGTGTGGGTATTCTAAGATTCAGGATAAGTTATCCTATTCCAAAGCCCATGTTCCTAACCTCTGTTCCACCTGCTGGGTTTGGTTCTAATTTTCAGTGGGTTATAAGGAAAAAAAAACACAAGTTGAGGTTCATGTCCCCGTGGTGTTTCGACCTGTCTGAAGCAGCCAGTAGCCCTCTGTGGACCATGATCAGTGCGTCCCTGAGAAATGCCAAGCCATGGCAACAGGTGGGAAGTGCCTTCCATTTCCATTCAAAAAGTGGCCTATGAGGATCCACATCCCCAGCTCCTGCCAGCTCCTAGTCTTCCCTTGAACCAGGCATGAGTACCAATCATTCTTTGTTGGTCCTGTATGCTCATGGTCAGAGCCACATTTTGTCACTTAACTGGGTATTTAATTCTTACCTGTTAATCTGTCAGTGGCATTTGGAGTGAGGGCTTCCATGCAGCCACATGTAACAGGATCCTTGTTGGGGCTGTTTCCCAGATGACAGCAGGCGTTGCTCCCAGGTGAAGTTGGGCTCAGCTGCTGACTTCCTACTTGACATCAGTGAGACTGACCTCAGCACACTGACAGCCAGCATTAAGGCACCATCTGGTCGTGATGAGCCCTGTCTCCTGAAGAGGCTGCCCAATAACCACATCGGTGAGTGCCTTCCAGGTGGTGAGCTTGGACTCATGGCTGGGGGATGGGCTCCTGAGGTGCTTTCTTGGTGGCACATTGGAGTGTGTGTGACATGGTAAACTTGTTGGGTCACATGCATGAAGAAAGTCTTCGTTCTGATATTGACACCCTTGAATATTCTGGGTTGTTGTAAATTTAGGAAGGAAATTGTCAATTACAATTTTGAGAATATGACATTCCCACTTCTCCACTTTCTTTCCTCCATCTCCTTCTTTCCTCTTACATACCTCAATGTATGTTTTGGTCCAGGCATCTCCTTCATTCCCCGGGAGGTGGGTGAACACCTGGTCAGTATCAAGAAGAATGGCAACCATGTGGCCAACAGCCCCGTGTCCATTATGGTGGTCCAATCGGAGATTGGTGATGCACGCCGAGCCAAAGTCTACGGCCGAGGCCTGTCAGAGGGCCGGACTTTTGAGATGTCTGACTTCATTGTGGATACAAGAGATGCAGGTCTGTGGCATGTTTCCAGGGGAAATACCCAGAACTTATAGGAAATGGCTTCTTTTTCTCAATCTGCTTCATCTTCATCCTACCAACTCCCTTTTCTCTCTGAATAGTCTTCAAACTCAGAGAGGTCCTTGAGGGTCCTTTTACCTACATAATCATTTAAACCTCATGACCATGGGGAGAGAACATATTTGTTTTATAAATAAAGAAACTAAGGCTCACGGGCTTATAGTTATATTTGCTCCTGAGATTTGAATCTAGATCCACAACAACTCACAGACCCGTGTTTTGTTGCCTATACTGCCCTCACTTTGTTCTTCTCACGGTGAGTCTCCTGGCCTTATCCTAAGTGAAGAATGCTGGGCCAGGTGGCCAAGGTAGTATTCTCCTGACTGGTTTCATGGACATAGTAGATGTTCATGAGGAAGGAGTCCTCTGGATAAAGCCTTGTTCAGCAGTTTAGTCACTGTGTGACTTCTCAGAGGCTTTTAAACTGTTCTCCTGTCCCAGGCTCTCCAAATAGGGCTACTATTACTTTCTGCTATCTAGAAATAGTTTGCACTTCAGGGGTTAGATGTCCCTTCTTTAGTCAGTGGGCTCCCACTTGTCAGAGAGTTGCTGTCATAATGGCTGGAGGCTGCTGTGTTGCAGGTTATGGTGGCATATCCTTGGCAGTGGAAGGCCCCAGCAAGGTGGACATCCAGACAGAGGACCTGGAAGATGGCACCTGCAAGGTCTCCTACTTCCCCACCGTGCCTGGGGTTTACATTGTCTCCACCAAATTTGCTGATGAGCATGTTCCTGGTACGTGTGACCTCTGCCCTCCTTTTCTGGTGCTTGGGATTTCTGTAAATGCTGTGCCTTGGCCTCTGGGTGCTCATGAGCACCTTGTTGTTTTTTCAGGAAGTCCATTTACTGTGAAGATCAGTGGTGAGGGAAGAGTCAAAGAGAGTATCACCCGGACCAGCCGGGCCCCCTCAGTGGCCACTGTTGGGAGCATCTGCGACTTGAACCTGAAAATCCCAGGTGGGTGCATGGGATCAGGGCATAGTAGTAGGCACCACAGAAAACCAATTCCAGGCCTAGCTCAGAACGTGCTACCTAAGTCAGCTCTGGTGACCTTTTTATTTCATTTCATTTTGTTTTCAATATTTATTTTCACAGATGCCTAATTAAGAAAAATAAATTTATTTACCTGCTATCTTTCTCTTCTTCCAAATGAAAATGGCTTTATTATGTTACATGGGCAGAACATGGATATGCTTTTAGGTTTACTATTTGCCAAAAAGAATAATGTCAGTGAGAGCACTGGTCACACTTCTAGATACAGATGCCAGTGTCTGGAAGGATTTAAGTGACATTGGCCCTGCAGTGGCCTTCTAACATTTCTACTCATCTCTTTCATGCCTAAAATTAGGAAGAGGGCTGTACCCCAAAACTGGGTGGGCCACATCCAGCCCTTTGGCGATGAATTTTTCCTCGTGGGGCCAATGAGCAGTAAACAGGCCACACAGTCTGGAATGTGGTTCTAGTTCTTTCTATAGGGATTCTCCCAAACAAAATTCATGGTGTCAGTGAGAGTTCTGAGCTCCTCCACTCATAAGCTGGCATGCACCGATTCTGCAGAGAAGGAAAATCAAAACTTGTTTGTGATCTCCTTGAAAGAGGACTGGTTTTCCTGTTCCTAGTATATTGTGCATCTATTTACTCTGCCTTCTCGAGTGTAGTTGGTAGGGTCTTGTGTAGGCACAACAATGTTGGGTCACATGGGAATGTGTGAAGAAGCCTCATTACTATAAGGTCAAAACAAGATCACTTTAAGCTGGGCATAGTGGTGCACACCTGTAATCCCAGTGACTCCGGAGGCAGAGGCAGGAGGATCGAAAGTTTGAGGCCAGCCTGAGCAACTTAGAAAAACCCTGTCTCAAAATAAAAAAATAGAAAGGGCTGTGGACGTAGCTCAGTGATAAAGTGCCCCTAGGTTCAATCTCTAGTACCAGGAAAAAATTAAAAAACAAGATCACATTAGAAGAGTTGTATAGATTGTTTTGTGATTATAAAAAGTGCATATTTCCCACATTAGAGGGAGAATGCATGGCCAGAAGGGGGATTGCTGGGTGGTACATTTCATATGCAGCCATGACTTGGCTGATGGCCCTCCAGAAATGTATTGGTGCCCATTTCTACATATTTTCCACCATCACTGCCTTTCATTCTCACTTTGGCCAACCTGATGGAAAAACACAGTATCTGGTTTTCATTTTCATTTCTTGAATTATTAGTGATGAGAACTGTGTTTGCATTTGCTTTATGTTTCTGATTTTGCAAATTATCCATTCTGTTCTTTTTTGCTTATTTATTTCTTGGAATTATCTTTGTATTAGTGTGGACGCTTGTTCTTTGTCTTAAGTCTCTTGATGACTTTGTTATTCTTTTTGGTTACTTGGTAGCAGATGACTCTGGGAGGACACATAGTTCCTCTCATTACCCACATGGTCCCCTCTCCTCTGTTGGGGTGGCTCATCAGCTTCCAGATATCCTCAGGACCCAGGCTTTGGGCAGGGGGAAGGGGATCTCTTGGTCAGTTTGAATTGTTATAACATTGTAAATGAAGGACTACCAGCAGACATTTACTTCTCATGGTTGGTCAAGACTGGAAGTCTGAGATCAGGAACCAGCATGATTGGGTTCTGGGGAGGGTGCTCTTCTAGGTTGCAGATAGCTGCCTTCTTGTATCCTCCCATGGTGGACAGCAGAGAGAAGCAGACTCTTCTAGCTCTTTTAAGGGGACTAATTCCATCCTGAAGGTTCTCCTTTCATGACCTCATCAAATCCTGCTTTTTCCTGTAGGGTCCCACCTCCTAAAACTACCACACTGTGGGGTAATGTTCAACATGAATTTTGGAGGAACATAAACATTCAGTACATAACCTGGGATGACCGCTCCTCAACCTCCCTTCCTTCTCTGTCCTCAGGATTCAGAGTCACGAACTCCTCAACCCAGATCCTGTAGGGCCGGAGGGTGCAGTTTCATATGGGCTGTAGGTGATGGTAGTGCTCAGTGTCCTGTGTGTCCCCTGCCTGCCTGTCTCCTTCACATTGGCACAGGCACAGTTGTTAGCATGATGCGAGCAGCTCACAGCGTACATGTGGTCTATACCCTGGTGCTGGTGACCGAGGCATCTTGTGGCCTCTGTCTGATCTTCAGTCTGGAGCTTTTGCTTCTGAAAGCTTTTGCTCGCGCATGGTTTTCCCTTTGCCATTGAGACTGACATGTGTTCACCTTTGTCTCTGCATCTGGTGTTATTGCCTAGAAGAAATGCAAAGCTTCTTGACAGTAAAGGATGAAGACCCTTGTGTTTTCTACCCTAACCTGCCTGGTGGAGAAGAACCATCCAAGCATGACAGATGGCCATGTCACCTTTGTTCTGGATGTACCTGAGCTACTCTGGTTTTTTATTTATATGTTGCAGCTCAGTTCCTGGTTTGAAGCTGTCACATCAGATTAACTCACTTCCAGCCAGGAAGGCTGTAAATATACTTGATGGGGCAAGAAGTGTCAGTACCCTGGAATGCAATCTGCACTGGGTGCCTGAAGGGCCCCACCCACTCCATGCTGGCCACAGGAGGACAGGCCTCCAGCCCGAAGGGGAGGGGGCCTAGCACCCTATGTCCACCAGGCTGCACCTGCCTTGCCTTCTGCTGCTACCCTGCATGTTCCACCTGCCTCTGGCCCCTGCTCTAATCCTCCTTTTTTTCCCAACCTCTTGCCTCCTTTCAGAAATCAACAGCAGTGATATGTCGGCCCATGTCACCAGCCCCTCTGGCCGTGTGACTGAGGCAGAGATTGTGCCCATGGGGAAGAACTCACACTGCGTCCGGTTTGTGCCCCAGGAGATGGGCGTTCACACGGTCAGTGTCAAGTACCGTGGACAGCATGTAACCGGCAGCCCCTTCCAGTTCACTGTGGGGCCACTTGGTGAAGGGGGTGCCCACAAAGTTCGGGCAGGAGGCCCTGGCCTGGAGAGAGGAGAAGCAGGAGTCCCAGGTGAGCATTCCAGCAGCTTGGAGGAGACTGAGAGTTGTTGGGGATGATAACCTGCACCCCTGGCTCTAAAGGGAAGACTTCTCATGGATGGCATTCAGGGACATTCCTTATTCAAGGCTTCTGTGGCTAAGTAAGTTTGAGAATTGCCCAAAGCTAAACAGGCTTCCAGGACTTCTCAGAGTCTATAACTTATTAGTGTGGATCTGAAGCTCTAAGAGGGTCTGATGTGCTATGGAACACACTAGAATGCTGCAAAACCAGTCTTCAGGGTCCTTTATTCCCGTCCTTTTCTGGCTTCATTTGGATGTATTCAAAAGATGCCAGTTATCTGTGAACTTAATAATCATGGGCAGTGCTTAGGAGACCACAGGGATGGCCCTTGCTTGGATCCTGCCTAAGGTTAGAGAAAGAGGAAAGGGCTGGTGAGGGACTAAACCAAGCACTACAGATTTGAACAGGTAGAGGGGCTGGGGCTGTCCTGGGCTCAGTCACTAACCCAGTGTTTTTTCACTCTCAGCTGAGTTTAGCATCTGGACCCGGGAAGCAGGTGCTGGAGGCCTCTCCATCGCTGTTGAAGGTCCCAGTAAGGCCGAGATTACATTCGATGACCATAAAAACGGATCATGTGGTGTGTCTTATATTGCCCAAGAGCCTGGTATGTACTCAAGGGTTGACTGAACACATTTTGCTATTCAGAGATGGTTAAGTTGCAAGGAACAGAAACCCATCTAACTCAAGTATCCAAGGCATTTGTGGGAGGAGGCACAATAGAGAGCTTTCTAGAAAGCCAGTTGCAGAAAATAACTGGGTCTCAACGGGGTGAGGACTCTTGTTATCATTATCTTTCACAATTCTTTCTCCATTGGCATATTTGCTTTTTGCTTTCTTTCAAATGCTTCTGTCAACTCATGGTCCATGACTGGGACATTTGCCCCAGGAGAGTGGCCTAGGTGTCTAAGTTTCCTAGAGCAAGGTTCTTCATCTTTTGTGTCACAGGGACCCTTTTGGCATCTGGTAGAGTATATGGGGTCTGTTCTTAGGATGATATTTTGAAACAAAATATATTAGATTATAAAGGAAATCAATTATATTAAAATGTAGTTATCAAAATTAAAACATAGGTATTGATAGTTATCAGATTGCACCATAACAGTATATGTTTCTCTCTCTTAATACATTAAATCATAAGATTTAGTGATGGTATACTAATGACCTTAATTTCAAAATAGTGATCAGTGCAAGTGATATACAAAATATTTATAAAACTTAAAATGGTATAAAAAATACTATTTTTGTTGGTGATAAGTCACAGGTACTTATCCTGTGCTGTGATTTCTTATTGACATTTCTAAAGACTAAATTTCATTAAAGATGTGATTTTCCTCCCCCATTCGAGTCTGTGGATCTCCTGAATTCTCTGCATAGACCCTTTGGGGACCCTGTGGGCCTAACCCTGCCAAATTAAGAAAATTATACTGACTCTTTCATTCAGCTATGGCCATGGAGCAAGGCTGTGTCTCTCTCTGAAGACATTTTAGTCCTAGCTAAGAAGCCAGAGGCCACTCTGGAGGCAACTTTTTAGAATCTGTGAAATGATGGAGCTTTCCTATCCCTACAGGTAACTACGAGGTGTCTATCAAGTTCAATGATGAGCACATCCCTGAAAGCCCCTACCTGGTGCCCATCATCGCGCCCTCTGACGACGCCCGCCGCCTCACTGTTATGAGCCTTCAGGTGAGACGCAAGGAAGCATCCATCTCCTTGGCCACAGGCCAGCCAGTGAGACCCCTGGACTCCTGAGGCCTCTTCAATCCCCCCTTGGGTGCCAAGGCCCCTAGTTTCACTTTGACCTCAAGTCTTGCCCCTTGTGGGCAAGCATTCCCATGACAGGGTCAGCTCCCCACATACTCAGAGCAGAAAACAGTTGGGTCAATCAACAGCACACCTCAACGTTTAGGGACAAGTTTACTTTTAAATATTTATTTAAGAGAAACAAAGGAAGCCTGTTAATAATTGGTTAAGGGATAAGGAGAGACTTAAACAAAACAGACAGAAAACCAGCAGCCCAGTGATATTTAACCTGCTCTTGTTTGGCTGCTTTTTCCCTCAAAGTCAATTGCGATTTATTTYATAGGATGATTTTATAGAATAGTTGTAGCAGCCAGGATCCAGCTAGCATGAGGTGGCAGAGTAAGGTCTCTCTCACCTCAAAAACTGGGCTGTTGACTGCAGTTGCCTGAATCTCCACCCTGATCTAGAGGCAAATGGTTGCTTTCTCCACCCTACTGGGATACCAGGAGATGCAGCAACCCCCAACCCCATCTCAAACAGGTCACTTCAGTGTTGCATTGGCACCTTTAGCCAAACTAAGAGCCACTGGGGATGCATCTGCATCTGTTGCTCAGGACACTGAAAAATAATTTGTGTGAAATCAAAAGTAGCATTTAAGTTGTAGAATAACACCAGACTCTCTAAAGAGGATTTCTGGTTAAGGGGCTTTCTGTATAATCTTTGGCTACCCTGAGTTCTCAAAAATATTGGCTTGATTAATATCCACTTTAGTATCTCAGATTGGTGATATCATTGCATCTAGTTCCATAGGCTTCATTTACATTTGAGATTCTAGTCTTATTCTGGAGGAATTGGAATACTCCTAGATGTTCCAAATGTTAGTCTTTCAGGTAGGGACTGAGATAGAACCCCAACCAGCATCATAGTTCGTAGATTGAAGAGGCCTCATGTGGAGAATATCAAGGGTACTAACTGGTCACTGTGGTGTAGATGTATTTCTTGTGTTTCATTTAAAGGCTTCTTAACAGAAGCTTCTTTTGTGGCTGGCTTAAACCTTTGGAGGGAGATAAACCCAGCATTTGTTGAGGGCATAGAGCTGCCTTCATGCATCTCAAAGATTCCTTTTGGATCTTCTGAGGTGTTTATCTCCCTCTTGAGGATTTAGCGGCAAGCAGATTCAGGTAAAGTAAATGATTGTGTCCAAAATGAGCTGGTTTGGAGAAAGCCTCTTCCGAAAACCTTTGCTATAGAGTCCTCACATCACAGTTTGGTCATAAATATTTCAGTAAGTGTGCAGGAGGCCTTCTATCAAGCTTTTGCAACCAGCTGCTACAGCAAGAGGGACCTGTGTGTCTACATCATCCCCTGTTCTTTCTGGGTTATTTGATACTGAGGGTTGTGTAAATTATTTATCAGAGCCTTAGTGGAGGCCTGCACAGCCACATCTGGTGCTGGTTAGGCAAGAAAGGCATGTATTGTTTTGTCTTGCTTTCGAGACTTTGTAGAAAATTGGAGTCGGCTGGCATTTCGTGGAGGAGGGAGTGGAATAGGGGTGATCTGGTGATCAAAGAATCCTTAATTTTGTGTTACGTCCTTCCTCCCCAGGCTGTAAGCTCTAGGCAGCACAGTAGAGTAGAACATTCTGCAGCAATGGAAATGTTCCCCATTTTCACTGTGCTGCATGGTAGTCCCTAGCCACCTGTGGCTGGCTATTGAGCACATGAAATGTAACTAGAATAACTGATAAGTGGAATTTGGAATTTTATTTAATTTTAAGTGCTTTGAATGTAAAGATATTCATTTTATAGTCTATATACACATAGGCAACATGTATTTTTAATTTATATTTATATATTTACATACATACATATATCCACATGTGGCTAGTGACTATCTAACTGGACATCACAGCTTTAGGGACTTGCTACTAACATATGGTCCTTAGACCACCACCCTTGGCGTTTAGAAATGCCAGCACCTGGAAATTTAGAAATGTCAAATCCAGTCCCCACTGAGAATCTGATCAGATCTCCTGATGATTTGCTTGCGTGGGAAGTGTGATCCCTGCTTTCATTAGTGTCTGAGGTGTGGCTGTCTAATCAAGTTTAAAACAAAAAAGTGCTGACTTATAAAATTTTGCTGCTTGGGATTGGCCAGTCTTAATGTGTATTAAATGTTGCTATTTGGTTTAATTCCTAAGTACCTAGTTCTGTGTCCTTCCAGGGAGGCTATTGGGTCCCAAATAGTACATGTGGAGTAAAACTGACCCAGAGAAAAGCAAAAACTACATTTCTCCCCATTGTTTTTTGTTTGTTTTGTTCTTTTGTTTTTGTTTGTTTATTTTGTTTTGGTGGGATGGGTGTAGGCATTTTGAAGTCTTTTTGTGTATGGGCCAGGCCTTGTGCTGAGTGTTGTACCTATGTAACTTCATTTAATCCTCTCAACAGCTCTCTGAGATAGATGAATTTATTATGTCCATAAATAATATATTATTTATGTAAGTAATTCATCATTACTTACTGAGACACTCAAAGAAGGATCAGCAGCTTAGTCATATTGCTAGGAAATGGTAGTAAACCTAGGTCCAGCTGATTCTTCAACTCACTGTACAGTCCTGCCTACATTAAATGTTCTGTCCATTCCTACCCTTGAGAGGAAAAAAGAACAGTGGTATAAAACTTTAAGTTAGGGAGTACATGGTTTGGTCAGCTTCTAGGCTTCTCTTAAAGGGGAGTTCTTATACTTGCCACACGAGGCCCTGGGTTCCATCCCAAGTACAGAAAAAGAAAAAAAAAGAAAGAAAACCAAAAAGGAGTCCTTGGTTTATTTCAGCTGGGGAGATACTACATTTTCTGGCCTGTACAAGTCTTGTTTGAGATGATTAGATAGTAGTCTGATTGACCAAGCTGTCCCAACCCTGCAACCCCAGGAGCTGTCTCTTCCAACCTAAACCAGCCTAAATGGTTTGAGTACAAAACTGTGCAGATGTGTGTCTTGGTTTTCTTGAACTCTATACTAGAAATGTACGTGATATGCTCACACTCTTTTGTTGTCAGATGTTATTTGGAAACATATTCTGGGCCTATTTGCACGAGAACTGTCATCTGGAGTCCTGGGTCAGGTCGGTGTGTGCCACTGAGCAGGAGCTCCAAGGGCCATAACCTGTCTAATATATTAAATTCTCAGGAATCGGGATTAAAAGTTAACCAGCCAGCATCCTTTGCTATAAGGTTGAATGGTGCAAAAGGCAAGATTGATGCAAAGGTGCATAGCCCCTCGGGAGCCGTGGAGGAATGCCATGTGTCTGAGCTGGAGCCAGGTAAGCAGGAGGCCCGCAGAACATCGCTGTGTGTATGCGTCCCAAGTCTCGTCACTGCCAGCAACATTGTTTCTAAATTGTGATTTAGACATGGAACACAGAGACTCTTGACTTTGGCATAAAATTCTTTTTTTCTTCTTCCTCCTTCCTCCTCCTTTCCTCTTTGTTCTTCCTTTTCCTTCTCCTTCTTCACAAATTCTGCTTTCCTTTCTTTTAATTTTTTCAGATTCTTTTCACTTGACATTCTTTGTGATTTTTCTCTCATTTTTACAAAATCTTACAGATTTTTGTTACGTTGTTGACCTTATGACATAAGTAAGTATACTTTGATTTCATTTTGCTGTGAGGAAAAAGTAGATCAACGTTCTTCTGTAAAGTGAAAAAAGAGAATCTAGGTTCTTGAGCTTATTACCCTAAGATTTTCTTGGGTGGTGCCCTGGTATATGGAATTCTCTGACAACGATCAACTTTAAGGAGATCAACTTTAAGAAGTGAACATTTATTGAGTGTCAAGACATGGCAAGAAGATGAGGCTGGGGAATACATGCCCCCTGCCCTCAGAGAACTGCTCAGAGCTAGTGAGCAAGGCCAGAAACCCGCCTCACCTGGTAATGACCCCCGATGGTTCCTTTGTCACAGGAGAACTGATCAGCAGCTGATGAAAATGTTAGAGCAGGAGAGAGAAGCAGGATAAAAGTGTCTGTTAGCAGTGATTTGATTTGGTCATTCAGCTGTGTTCTCCAAGCCCCAAAGATCTTGACTCTTTCTTCTGCTTTGTGGGTCATTGTGAGGCTGGCTTTGGTAGCAAGATGGCTGCAGCAGTACCAGATTTCCAGTCTTCACACTGCACCAACCAAGAGACATTTTCCTCTCAGAATTCATTTTCAGAAGTCTGAGAGATGCCTTTTCTTGAAGTCTCCAGCAAAGCTCCCCTTCCTTCTCTCTGAACAGGGACACATGCCCATGACTAAGTCATGTCCTGTAGCTAAAGAAATGATTTAGACTTGAAGAAAGAAGGATTTTTCTTTATTCATTCAGGGCCCACATCTGGACATGAGAATGGGTACCCAGCTGGGAACTGCTAGGGGAAGTACAGAGCTGAGAGGATTAGGGTGGGCAGTTCTAGGATATTGATCTTTGGAGAGTACTTGAGTAAAAAAGAAGAAGGTTTGGGTGGAACTTTGAGGGAACAGATTCTACAGGAGATGAAGGTACAAGGAGCCAGGGAAGAATTGAGAGACTAACCAGAGAGGAGGAGGTGAAGGAGGGCAGATGCTCTGCATCCCAGGCTGGAAAGGGTCACCTCGGGCATAGGAGATGGATAATCTAGGTGCCCACTTCAGTTAACAGATTCTCTTGCCACATGCTGCGACCCACACTCTCAACAACAAAACCTGGCTGTTGCCTGTGGTTGTTAGCTTTGGGCTTAATTAAGGAGCATTAATGCCAGTTGGAACCATTTATTCCCCTTCAAGAGACCAAGTATCGAGACATTGTGAGAAGTGAGCTTTTCATAAAGGAAGTGTCCTGAGGCAGAGGCCAGAGTGTGAAACCAAATTTGAGACTTGGATGCATTTCCCAAAGGGCTGACCAGGGACACACAAATAGACCCGTCTGGTTTTGAACTCCACCGTGTTATGTGCCAGACTCCCAGCAGAACCGTGTGTCTTTTTAAATGATTTTAAGGGTGGCCTGCAGTTCTGTGTCCTCACCTAACTCCAGCGTGTTCATCTGCCTGGTTTCACTCTGTGACTTTGCTTATTCTCCTAGATAAGTATGCTGTTCGCTTCATCCCCCACGAAAATGGCATCCACACAATTGATGTCAAATTCAACGGGAGCCACGTGGTTGGAAGCCCCTTCAAAGTGCGTGTTGGGGAGCCAGGACAAGCTGGGAATCCTGCCCTGGTGTCTGCCTACGGTGCAGGGCTCGAGGGGGGCACCACAGGTAAAATATCACTGCACTTATTATCTTTAACAAAGCCAGCTCCAGAGGCAAAGCCAGGTGGAAATCTCCAAGGCCTGCAGAAGCCACCTGTACACTCCCCCTGGGAAAGTGGAGTAAGTAGCATGTACTTTGGAGGCTCCTGCTGTCACCATTGTTTTGGGAGATAGGGCTTGACCTGTGATAAATCCAGAGTGAGATCTCTGTGGCAGTATTATCATGTCATTACTGTTCATTGTGGCCCAGATGTCTTCCTTCACCAAGTTCCTGGACCCCAGGGACAGGACACTGATAGTTGGGGAACATACCTGGTGTCATTAGTGATGAGTTTTTTTGCTTGCACAGAATTCACTGGTATCATCCCTCCCCGTCAGTTCTTCTGGTCCCTGGACTCCCAGAAATACACCAAAATAGTATAAAATCTGTCATGGCCCATTTCCTCCTCCTTTATTCTCTACTCCTGAAATGGCTCAAGAATTCTGAAACTTTTTGGACTCATTACAATATATTTTTAATGTTTGCTCCATTAAAATGGGACATATCTGATTCTGGAAACATAGGAACTGAAGAAGGATTTAAGGTGAAATTTACTTCCTTCCTCAGCTCCTTGCCTCTCCCTGGCCCCTGGTCCAGGAGCAAATATCCCTAGCAGCTCAGAGAGATCTTCATACCATCTGCCTGTCTCTCATTTGACTTCATTCTTGCTGGCTAGGTTGGTTAGCTACTTCTTTAAATGGTCAGATGGATGGTTTTGCTACTTTTAATTTATGGAAGTGATCTTATTGCACAGATTGGTGAGCAGCTTGCTTTCTTCCCTTGACATCTTAAATATTTTTCTGTATCCAAACATACAGCTCCACCCCCCTCTAAATGCCTATAGTTGGTATTCATACTGTGAACTAACAGCTGTTTGCATGGTCAGCTAGAGATGGACATTGGCTGATATTCACTGTGTCACTGTTTCAGAAGATGCTGGGGCGGGGAATTTGTCCTCTTGGGTGTCTCTGCAGGGGAAATCTGTAGTGGGGGACTCATTTGCATTTGATGTTACTTGGGGCCTTCTTAGGAAAGCAACCCATGCTGGTTTCTCAAGTCCCTTGTTTGTGTGCATCTCTCCTCTTAGTTCCCCCGCCCCCACCACACTGCCCTGCTGTGAGTGGGATGGCAAAGAAATGTCTTCCTCATGGGAAAGAGGATGAGTGGCCATGGTTCTTGGCATCCAGTCCTGGATCAAAAGTGTCCTAAGTTCCCAAGGGTCCCTACTCAGATTCATGAGTGACTGATGGGCTGGAATGCTCTTGGGGACTCCAACCAAAGCAATGGCCTTAACAGCCCCCCCCTCCCGGGATGGCATTAATGCTGCTGGACTCCTCAGACCATCCAGATTGGCCCCCACTGAACTCTGAGCCAGCAGTTTGCCCTTTGTGAAGGGCCTTAGGTGAAATCCATTTGACAGTTGAGGAAAGGGAATCAGACAGGTCCATCACCCCCAGACTCACTCAGATAGGAGGAGGCAGAACCAGGACTCAGTCAAGGTCCATGATCTGAGAGCCTGGTGATAGCCTAACCCCCAGGCTGTCCCTCCTCCCTAAGTGCCCACTTACCTGGAGGGCACACACGCACCTTCAGCTCACTTTGTGTAGTGTTCTAAACTAGCACTCCTGTCTTCCCAGCAGCCCTAGAATAATTTCCAACAGTACAGGCATTTGACCCTTGGCAGGCTACCCACTGAGCACTGAGGTGGGGTCCTTCTGCTTCTTGAGTGCACAGCAGCTTGTGTTCCCTGTGCCAGCCAGCAACCATCTGATCCCCCTGTTGGCTCATACCTATAGTACCCAGCCTCTCCCACTTCCTCTTGGCGGATTGCATGCCTTCTCCAGAGCTCGGGTTTCAGACTGAGCTTTGCAAGCACTGGACATTGCAGGGAGAAGGAGCCTGTCTTGGAGGGAAGCTTCTAGCCAGGAGAGGGGAGTACAGAGCATGCTTGTTTCAAACCCTGTGTAAATATTGCTCTTGTCAAGGGGAAGGTGTCTTGTTTTTTCTAGCCCTCCCATTCCCAAGCCTTTCCCCAAATATCCATGTGGAGGTTACACAGCTGCAGTGTGAACAGATGAAGAGGTATCTGCTCTGCTGCTGAAGGGTCCAGCATGCTGACCTTCAGCACAAAGCAAACCTCCCTGTGTTTATCTTGGGTGGGTTTGTTGTATCTCTTGGCTCAAACTTTCAATGGTCCATTCTGCAGATTTAGGAACAGGGCATGAGGAGAATTTAGGGCAGGGCTCTGCTGAGGCTTGGAGGTCAGGAGTTAGACTAGGGAGGTTTCCACTCTTTGGAGCAACTGAGTGTGTTTCCTGATAAATGCTCCAGAACCCCAGGATACACCCTATGCCTTCTTCCCCTCTACCCTCTCTCACCTTAAAGACTAAGTTGCACTGCATTAAACATGCACTGAACTCACAGGAACTCAGCCAGGCTGGGGGAGGGGAAGACCATCATGTTGAGGTGTTTGTTGGTATCAGATCCTGGTTGTAGCTGGAGGTGGTGGTGAGAGACTTCTGTATGCAGGCTCTCTCTCTCCTGTCTTCTCTCAGACAGGTATCTTAGTTCCAAGTCGGCCAGACCTTGTAACTCTGGACAAGTTCTTTGCCTTTCTGTATCTCCAATTCATTTTCTGTGAAGTGGAAATAAGGAAGCCTAGTTAATAAGCTTATTCTGAGTATTAAAGTAGCTAATAAATAGCCAGGTAGCTCTTGTCCTGTACTTCCTAATTTCCTTTTCCCACCTTATCATCATCTTTGCCTTTTTGGGCTCTCAGAGTCAGAATGAACTGATTTCCCCCCCCCCCTCAGGAATGAAATAACTTGTTAAAAAGAGTGGGGTGCGGGGGAGTGGAGCTGGACTAGGGATAGAGCTTATTTGGTAGAATGCGTGCCTCATGTGCACGTGGCCCTAGGTTCAATCCTCAGCACTACAAAAAAAGAAAAAAGAATGGTGCTGGGCTGGGCAGCTTAGTGGTAGAGTACTTGCCTAGCACGTGTGAGGCACTGGGTTTGATCCTTAGCACCATGTAAAAATAAATAAATAAAGGTATTGTGACAATCCAGAACTGCCAGGTGCGGTGACACATGCCTGTAATCCCAGTGACTTGAGATGCTGAAGCAGGTGGATCGCAAGTTCAACAACTTAGTGAGACCTTTGTCTCAAAGTAAAAAATGAAAAGGGCTGGGGATGAGGCTCAGTGGTTAAGCACCCCTGGATTCAATCTCTGCTACCTAAGGGGGCAGGGGTGGGGTGGTTGGGGGGAGTTGGAGCTTCTGTGCACTATAGCCAGGCCTTTTAAACTTCACTTTACAAATATCTTTCCTTATCGCCACTGTACAGCTACTTCCTGGACACACCACCCCCTTGTTATAGACTCTCTACTTCCCCCACAGTCCCCAGCCTGGCAGCTGCTGCTTAAGGGGCTTCTCAGCTACATAGATTAGGAACCATGACAAAGTTGAGATAGTGGGGGGGACTTGGGACAGGAGCCTCTGGAGCTTCCAGAAACAGCTGGGCTATGTTTGAAGGTTACACAATGGTAGTTCCTTTTCTTTTATTGATAACCAGAACAATAATTCCTTCTCTGATCTGAGGGCTATAATTAAACCAAAACATTTCCCAACTGGGGTGGTGTCCAGGGCTCTGGCAAAAACAGCCTCCTGTGGGGGTGCTGTGCTAGGGATGCCCCATAGAGGGCACTGTAGGGGGCACGCAGCTGATGTTCTGACACCCAAGCAGCCCCACTGACCCCTGGAGTAGAGAGGGGGGAGTGGGATTTTTGTGGAGCTGTGGGCTTAGGTAGGAGTGCCTTCATGGCCATCAGTTGGTACTCTCTTTTGGGCTTTTGTCACAAGCAGGATGCCCTGGGACAACCAAGAGGTTAGGTATCCTGAGGTTGCAGCTTGGGCACCTCCACTGTCTTTCCAGTGGCCAAGAAGGGCCTGGGCACCAGAGCCTTGCAGACTTGGTTCAGATGCTGCTTGCTACTTTCTGATGATACATCATGACTGGCAAGTGGTCAAACCTCCCTTAGTCTTAGTGCCATTCTGTGAAACAGAAACCACTGTGAAAGGGTCCCATGCACATGCATGTAAAATAATGCCTGGCACAGGGTCTGCAGCTTATGTGGGGTCTGTGGTTCTCAGCAGGAGCTCCTCTTTTATTCCTGTTTTTGTTGCTGGAATTCATGGCCAAGGGGGTGGGCTGGCAGATCACAGTGATTACTCCAGTTTTCGGGATGGGGTGCAGGGCAAGGAGCCTGAAGAGGAAGAGAGGGGACACTGGGCCTCCTTGGCATCTCTAAATCTACCCAAAGGAAAAAAGAAAGGTCAAAGGGGCCCACGCCTCTCCTTCCAGCCTGTAGGCAGAGCTGGGCCAGTGGCTGAAGCAGCACTTTAGGCTTGCAGTGATGACTCAGGCTCCTCGCCCTCAGCCATGGCTCATGCCCAGAGGAGAGAACAGGGTGTCCAGGCAGTTTACACTTGTGGGCGAAATGTCAGCCACACTCCTGCCTCACCCTGGGTTAGGAAGCTACCCACCCAGGGCCCAAGGTTCTCTGTGCCAGAAGTCAGAGCTGGACCAGTGGGTTCCCATGCCATCAAGGCAAGCCCTCTTTGAGGAGACTTATGTGTACACCATCATTGCTTTAACACCCCCAGGAAAGCCCCCCACATGACACCCCTCATGCCTCCAAATCATTTACAAGTGCATTCCCTTTTCCTCTCTCCCAGGCATCCAGTCTGAATTCTACATCAATACCACCCGAGCAGGCCCAGGGACGTTGTCTGTCACTATTGAAGGCCCATCCAAAGTTAAAATGGATTGCCAAGAAACCCCAGAGGGGTACAAAGTTATGTACACGCCCATGGCTCCTGGAAACTATCTGATCGGTGTCAAATATGGCGGACCCAACCACATTGTGGGCAGTCCATTCAAAGCCAAAGTGACAGGTAATGATGAACAACCTCAGAGTTAATTTGCCCTATGGAGCTAGTCTTATCTGACTAACAATATGATTTTAGATATTAAATCTACTTTGAATCTTGAATGTAAAGAAATTGTATGACATTCCAGAGGCCGGTGTGTTGAAAACTTGCAAAAATAAGTCCACATAGTGAGGCAGTATAGACGTGGAGAAAGCAGGTTAGGTGGGTGTTTTTGTTTTTTGATGCTTTCCCCCCCCCTATTAACAGAAAAGAAGAATTGTTTACATACTTGAAATCTAATGTATTTGTTTAATCAGAGCCTGAAAAAAAAAAAAAACTTTCTAACCTTTTCGCTTGAAATAATCAAAGTTATTTTTTAATTTATAAAAATATAGGCCAAGTGCAGTAATCCCAGCAACTTGGGAGGCTGAGGCAAGAGGATCACAGGTTCAAAGCCAGCCTCAGCAATTTAGTGAAGCCCTAAGCAACTTACTGAGACCCTGTCTCAAAATAAAAAATGCTGGGGATGTAGCTCAGTTGTTAAAGCATCCCTGGGTTCAATCAAAACAAAACAAATTTACAAAACGATGTCTCCTTCCAAACACTGAGGGAAAAAATGCCAAATAGTAAAAACAACTTCACAAGCTGGCACCCAAAGGTAACCACCATACATATTGTAGTAAATCCCTTCCATGATGTCATGATTCACTGTTGGATAAGTAATATAGGTTCATCGCAGAAAAATGAGAAAACTTGGGAAAAACATCCTCTGTCATGTATAGAATCAATTTTGATAATGTATATATGTCCTTTCAATGTGTATATGTCCTGCTTATACATAGATATTTTATATGAATGGAAAGGTAAATTCTGCAGGGTGGCAGAATTTGTCAGCTAAGGCCAGACTGGTCCATTTGCCCAGAAAGGCAAATCCTAGTTGTGTGTATGGGTGAAGCCTCAGGGGATTTGGGAGACACTGTGGTTATAGGATATGGATATATAGTGGCTTTTGTATCCAGGTGTTGGGCTGTGGGGATCTTTCTGGGACTTTTACATGGGATACCTGCCTGTCCTCTGACTGAGAGTCCTCTGGTCTGGCCATGCATCCCTCCCTCCTGCTCTTCCATGTCCTAGGTCAGCGCCTGGTCAGCCCGGGCTCATCCAATGAAACCTCGTCCATCCTGGTGGAGTCAGTGACCAGGTCATCAACAGAGACCTGCTATAGTGCCATCCCCAAGTCATCCTCGGATGCCAGCAAGGTGACTTCCAAGGGAGCAGGGCTCTCAAAGGCCTTCATGGGACAGAAGAGCTCCTTCCTGGTGGACTGCAGCAAAGCTGGTAGGTAGCGTGGTTCCACTGGGGTGGGGAGGAAGGGAATGGGGCCTAGACAGGCCAAGTATCCTCCTACACTTTGACCTCCCCTGCAAAGGCCTTCAGTAGCATCCACCCCCCCTCTCCCTTGCCCCATGCAACCCAACCACCATCARACAACCATGTTTCTTGCCCTATTCTCCTGCACTTAATGTCTATACCTGTTTGTTCTCTCTTTGCCCCTTGATTCTTTGAGATGACCCCAAGGTAGTCATGAAAGGCAGTAGTATCTCCATTATAGATGGGCAGACTGATTTGGTTAATCTAGTCCCTTCTCTTCCACTAATTGCTCTAATTTCCAGCTGAACTTGGGTGTTAGGGGTCAGTTGTCCAGGTTCTGACATCCAGAGCACCTGGACTAGAAACTTGGCTCTGCCATTTCACTTATTTGTTCTCAATGCTGGGCACGTGAACCTCACTGTCAAGCTCTGTAAGTCTCTGTTAGTAATCACCACAGCCTCCCACCTGCTCAGGGGCCCAGCGTCCTCACAGAAGCTCAACAGGAAGTCCCAGGCTTGTCTCCCTTGGTTCACATGTTCTCTTTCTGCTGCCCGGAGTGACCATTTTCCCTTTGCTCTTCAGGTTCCAACATGCTGCTGATTGGAGTCCATGGACCCACCACACCCTGTGAGGAGGTCTCCATGAAGCATGTGGGCAACCAGCAGTACAATGTCACATATGTTGTCAAGGAGAGGGGGGATTACGTTCTGGCCGTGAAGTGGGGGGAAGAACACATCCCCGGCAGCCCTTTTCATGTCACAGTGCCTTAAAATAGTTTGCATCAAATCCTGGGAGGAATTCTTATGGTTGCTTTTATCGCTTGTTTGTAATTCATTTTATACCATGTCCTCCAGCCTGTTGGTGGGTCTAAATCCCATCCCAAAACACTACCATTCTAAAGTGCCTTCAGAAATAAGTCCTAGACTTGACTCTTGAGGGATGCATTGGGTAAATCATAAGAAATGCAAATTTGTCCAATGGACTAAGAAGATCCAACGTATACTCAGTTCACCTCAGACCTTGGGGGGCACAGGTCACTGCAGACAGACCAAGAATATGGGGAAGACTGACATTTTTTAAAAAATGAAACTGGCTAACCTAAGCTACAGGTTTGCTGTTGAGCCTTTACAAAAAAAAGACGGGGGGCGGGGCGTGAGGGGGGGTGGGAGGGGGCCAGGAAAAAAGAAGAGACCTAGTTTAGGTTGTAATTTAGCAAAGGGATTCCTTCAGACCAGCTGGATCTAGTCCAGGGCCCATATTCCATAGGAAAACGCTGTTAGGTGCTCCACCATGTTGACACTACTTCTCACCAATCACCCATTGCACTCTGGCCTCCTGACATTCTTTCTGGGCAGAGCCAATTGATGGCACATGGCTTCCTAGTGTTTCTGCACTTCTCCTCTGGTGATTATTTCCTTGCAGAGTCATAAAAGTGTGACCATTTGGTTGCCACGGATCTGCTTTAGGTTTCCAAGTCCATTTCAGTCACTTGGTGGAGGAAATTCTGCAGTGACCAGCAGCAACCCACTTGCCAAAGATCCCTTCTCACCAACACTAGCCCTTGCTTCTAACACACGCCCCAGTCACTTATCAGCCTTACCAAAACCTTTAAAGTGACCTCAGGTGGGTGCACATGTTAGTGTTCGCCTCATGAAGGCCTATAAGGTGACACAACACTCATAGCCACCCCTGCCAACCTGTGGGTCACTCAGGAAAATATTTAGTATAGTCAGGAAAGAATGAAGCTCATGCCAACTTTTGGCTGAGTGTTAGGGAATTGTTGAGGGGCAGGAAAAGGCAGCAGCTTTTTTGGCAGAACAGTGAAAGCTGCGTAGCTGACAGTTTGCATCAAATCCTGGGAGGAATTCTTATGGATGCTCTTGGGAAAACAATAAGCAGGTGCAGAATTTTTTTTTTTTTTTAAATGGGGTATAGGGCAGTTTGCAAGCCTTTTGCAGACCTGAGCTGGCTTTGGGATTAAGTTAAAGCAATCAGGGACGTTGCCTCATGGCAGAGCTCAAAATGTGTAGCTTGGGCCAGGCAGCCTGATTTTCTGATTTGCTGCTTAGTTCTAAGGAAGTGGCCACTGTCATCATGGGTGTGGTAGGGCTCTGGAGGTGTAGCAGTTGGAGGTGGGTGTTGGTGGTAAAAGTCCACCTTTTAGAAACTGGAGGCAGCCCGAAGCCTAATGTGAAGGGACCACAGGCCTTGGAAACGAGGACAGGGAAGCCAAACTGGAATCAAATGCCGACTGTAAATTGTATCTTATAACTTATTAAATAAAACGTTTGCGCCGTAAAGTTTCCCCTGGCGTTCCTGGGTGGCATCTTTTTTCTGAATAAATGGTTTGAGCCTCTGACCAGCTCTCCCAATCCCTGACTGAAAAGGCACAGAAGAGCAACTCATTTTGACAATGAGCCTGATTGATCTCTTTCTTCAGGGAAAGGTCTGTGTTCTCCTGAGAGGCCAGGTGGCACAGCCTGAAAGGTGAGRGGACTTTGAGAAGAGGGTGTATGGACCCCAACACCAACACCTCTTGGAGAGTTCTAGATACGAAGCTCACCCAGGTAAAAGCAGGGGCAGGTGGAGGCTTTTCCTGATTACATCAGGAAGTCCTTATTTTCCAGGATGTTCTCAAACAAGAACATTCCACATATCATCCCACTGCCTTAGACATGCAAGGTTAATATTCAGTGTCACCATCTGCCCTCTGTGTGCTCATGCTCTTTTTTCTGAGAGCTTTTTTTTTTTTTTTTTTTTTGGTGGTGGTGGTGGGGATTGAACCCAAGGCCTTATGATGCAAGGCAAGCACTTTACCAACTGAGCTATATCCCCAGCCCTCCCTTTTCTGAGAGCTTCTGGTTGCTGAATGGCTAGGATGGGACTGGCCCCTTGCCTCCTCCTAGCATTCCTAACAGTCCTGTGTCACCGTTGACAAGGCTATTGCGTGCAGTTTGCACACCAAATTTGCAGACACAGCTTACTTGGGGTTAGACCCTGGCCCTTCTGACCCCAAATGGGAACTCTGCCCCTGTTGACACTGCTATGGAAGCAGAAGCCCCCGGGCAGTGGTTGAAAGTCCCTGCTGGGCCCCTGGCCCTCCAGTGTTGGGGCAGAAAACTAGATCTTTCCTATGTTTCTTCTTACACCCAGCTGTGAATCAGAATGGTGATTTGTTTACCTCTGAGAGGTGGGAGGAAGAAATTGGAGGGAAGGAACACCCTTATCTGTGGCTTGCACTATGAAGGACTAGCCTGGGCTCCTAGCTCAGGGAGCTGTGGGGAGTCCACTCAGGCTCTGCCCTGATGTTCTGGCTTTGCCCACCGAGGAGCACAGGGGCATAGCCAATGATTTCTCCACCTTCCTGAAGCCTGACCAGGCATTTGGGGAAGGCAGCATTTGTAGGTTAACAGCATGGACTTTGACATTGGTATCCCAGAATTTAAACACTGGCACCACATTTCACTGGCTCTGTGACCTTGGAGAAGTCACTTCACCCCTGTGAGCATGCCTCTCTCTGGGTGATGATGAGGAAAAGATGAAATCCCACTGGAAGCTGTAAGAAACAGTCTGCCTGAGTCTCCCACTGCTATGGCCTATACCTGCTGTAGTATCAGGACTGTACCTGGTGGCCCCCATACATGGGGCTGGAGCACATTTCCACTGTAAAAATTATACCAAAGATATCTCAGAGTAGAAATCTGCACACCTCTTTACTGGCCAATGGCTAGAATCAGAGGGCTACTCTTAACTGACTTGGGCTTGGCTGCCATGGAAACCTGCTGTTGTTTGTGCAAACACCTTGAAAACTTTGAAACTTGATCCCTGGACAGGCCAGGTGCCAGGTCCTTTCCCACTTTCACTAGTTGACTTTGCCCCATTCCTAGCAGGAGCTGACAGGATTGTCACTCTTCAGCATCTAGTGGAGGTTAAGCAGACAGCAACTAGCAGGTGCTCTGCAGAGATCAGTTCTCAACACAGAAGAGGCCCTGCCTGTCATGCATGGATGCCCACCTCTTCCTCATCGGTGTTCACTTTGAGACCCAGGGCAGCACCCACCAACTGCTGCCAGGAAGGAAAGTTTTATTACCATGTCTTTGCTTCTAATGCTCTTGTGAATACCTGGGGTCTTGACCCCAGGCCTAATGCTAGGACTTCAAAGGGGCCCTGGAAGCCACATTCTGATGAGTTTGGTGTAAAATGAGTTGGGTTCATAGGGATTTAATTTCCCTTGAAAATTGCTCAGCCTTGAAAAATAGAATAAAGGTTAGTGGCAAAATGAGTGCTCAATCCTTGCCAAGTCCTCAATAAATAATAAATTATTTATTTTTGGTTCCAGGAATTAAACTCGGGAGTGCTCTGCCACGGAGCTACATCCCCAGCCCTTTGATTTTTTTTAAATTTTGAGACAGTCTCACTAAGTTGCTTAGGCTTTCAAACTTGGGATCCTCCTGCCTCAGCCTCCTCCTATGTTGCTAGGATTATAGGTGTGCACCAACAAGCCTGGCTCAAGTTTGTCTTTAAACTGAGGAAGATCACTTATTGTGATGTCTATTAACCTTGGTACTTGGCCTCATCTCATCCAGTAGGGTCAGGAAAGGAATGGAGTCTTTTTCAAATCTCTATAACTTGCCTGGAAGTGGGGGCTGCGATGAGGAATTAGATTATTTCACTAATGAAAAATTTCTCAGTGGGGCTGGGGATGTGGCTCAAGCGGTAGCACGCTCGCCTGGCATGCGTGCGGCCCGGGTTCGATCCTCAGCACCACATACCAACAAAGTTGTTGTGTCCGCCGAGAACTAAAAAATAAATATTAAAAATTCTCTCTCTCT